TTCTAAGGAAGCTCCTTAGCTACCTTTATTTTTAAATGTCTCTGGTGGTTCATACTGTTCCTTATATCCTCCAGGGTGCTCTATATCGATCCGAGGGAAGTATTGATAACAGTGAGGCTGAAGTCTTTTCCTGTTTGAGTTTATTGTAAGGAGTTAAATTGGTTATAAATGGGTGCACTGTGGACCCCATAAAAAGTACATGTGCTGAAGCCAGCTTTTGCACCCAAACGGCCGACATCTGGGTTGTCCAGCTGCCACCAATGTCACTTCCTGCTTTGAGCATGTGCAGAGACCAAGAAGTGACATCAGCAGCGATCTGATGTCCTGGATGTGGACCAATGTTCTTTTAACACGGGGACAGGCTGGTGCACATGAACGAGCAGCGTGTCCGCTTAAGCAGTGAACCTGGCTATTGTGTTTCGTTATAGCATGGGGCTGGGACTTTATAATAATAATCCTTGCATTTGATATAGCATCTTTTCACGTCTTCTAGACGTCTCAAAACGCTTCACAGAATATACTGTAAAGTGAATTGACTGTGTATTTTTGTGGGCAAACGCGGCAGCGCACAGCAGTGTCCCACAAACAGTCGTGGATTGAGTGACCAAATTTTTTTTTTGTGTGAGGGATTATTACCTCCGGAAAAGCAATCCGAAAATTGACTTACAACTGGGTTCCTACTTAGCGCTAGGTGAACAGAGGCGTGTGGAGTAAGGAAACTTGCCCAACGCTTCACCCTGCTGGGAATTGAACCCAGGATCTCTCGATTGTGAGGCGAGGGCTCTAACCACAAAGCTACTAAGCATTAAGGGTGGGGTGGGATAGATCTCATTGATTTAGAGCATGACTCCTCTGCAGTTGGCTCTTGTGGAGGAGCTGACACCAGCAAAGACTCCAGTGGATGAATGGCCTCCTTTTGTGTTATAATTTCAATGATTGAGTTAGATTGTTTTTGTTGTGAATTTTTTTCCTCCCAAACTTTTTTTTAAACAAAGCAGTGGGTCTATTATGTGCTATGTGTAAATACAGCTTTGTTGTTTGTCATATTAAAATGCATATCGTGATTCTCAGCCAAAGGACGGCACCTCCAACTATATTGGAATCTGAGCCTGAACCATAACTTCACTTCCAGCTCTTATTGGAAAATAGGTTGTGGCAATACTTGGTCATGCATTCTGGTTATATATAAACTGTTTATCCTGGCCAGTAGAATTCCACTGTAAAGTTAATCCAAAGTTCATGATATATTCAGCTTGACTCAATTTGCTTATCATGCATTTAGGTTTTGGCATGAGCATATCTCAACATTAGGTTATTGCACTGTAGTGTCAACTGCATGTAACATATCACATTTTACATTCAAAAATGGGACTGAAACCCGGGTTCAGACGATCTGCAATTGTGCATCAAATGCAATTTTTTGCAGAGCTGATAGAAATGGCATTTTATACGCAAAACATTGCAATGTGAGCTAGAGGCTCTTAAAACTGTTTCAGCTTTAGGATTACTTTTCAGATGCCTATGCATCTTACCCAACATGTCTCAGTTGGTTGTACTCTTGTTTCTGAGTCAAGAGGGTTGTCAACACAAACCTTTTATCAGGGCTTTGAGATAATAGCCTCTGTTTACCTAGCAGTAAGTAGTAACCAGGTTGTTAGGCAATTGGCGAATTGCTTTTCTGAGGGTAATAATCCCTTCAAAAATAAATAAATACAATCACAACAAAATTACATTTGTATAGTGCCTTTCACGTCGGGAAGACATCCCAAGTTGCTGGACAGACAGAGTTACGGACCCGAGCTGAGTGTCAGGGTGGGGTGGGGGGAATCAGGGAGATCAAAAGCACAGTCGAAGAGGTGGGTCTGAAGGTGGCGAGAGAGAGAGCGAGATGGCGGGATTGCGGGATGGAGTTCCAGAGGGGTGGGTGCAGAGTGGCGGAAGGCCCTCCCACTGATAGTGGGGCGAGCAAGGCAGGGCACGTAAAACAGGCCAAAGCCTGCTGAGCGGAGGGAGGGAACAGGGTGGTAGGGGTTAGGAGATTGGAGAGGTAGGGAGGAGCAAGCCCATGGAGGGAATAATAATAATTTGGTCACTCAATCCACGACTGTTTGTGGGACACTGCTGTGCGCAATTCGCTGCCGTGTTTCGCCCACAAAATATACAATCAATTCACTTTACAATATATACTGTAAAGGGCTTTGAGATGTCTCGAAGACGTGATAAAGTGCTTTATCAAATGCGAGAACTGTTATTATAAACAACCATGAGGTAAATCCCAATTAATTTGGAGACCAGTAAGTCCACTGAGAGAAACTCCCATGTCTTACAGAATTATTAGTAATTATTTGTTTTAACAATAATTATTAATGATTTGATTAATATAATCAAATGGGATTGTTAATGTTCACCTGGATGATAGAAGGGCCTCGGTTTATAATCCCATTCAAAAGACAGCGCCTCTTCCAATGCAATACTGCACTGGATTGCTAGCTAGACGAAGAGCCGCGGACTCAAAATAGGACTTGAATCAAGGCAGCACTGCCATTTACATGTCCACAATGACACCAAATTGAACGAAAAAATATATAATGCAGGAAATTTTATTTTGTTTCATCGAATTTCCTTTTTTTTACTCCTCCTTCTCAACATTTGTGAGTCATGTGATTGATTTGAATGTTGAAGCTGGTATAGCCATTGCTGCTTGTATTTGACTACAGTGTGCCAGCTGACCTCTGAAAAGGTTAAGTATTTGACTTTTTTCCAGTGTCTTACTTTGGAACCTCCCCATCACCCTGCAACTGTTTATATCAGGTGGGAGGATCTGACTAGTCCCTGGACTGTGTCATCGCTACTACAACATATAGTGTTACTATTTTCCTCTTATAACCTTTTGTAGCCTATGAATCCACCTACACTACATGGACAGGGCTTTAGAGACTTTACTCAATCCTCCCAACAATAACTTGTATTTATATAGCGCCCCTCATGCGGAGTAGAGTCCCGGAGCACTTCACAGTGGCAGACTCTGACAACGAGCCAGAGGAGAGTGAGGGATGAGGTGACTCTAAGCACGATCAAAAAGGAAGGTGCCTGTGTTTGTCACCTCCCGCCTGGATTACTCAAACGCACTCCTCGCCGGTCTCCCCAGCTCCACTATTCAAAATATCCAGCTCACTCAGAACTCTGCCACCGCATACTGACCCGGACCAAACTCCGTACCCCCATCTCACCAGGTCTGGCCAGGCTCCACTGGTTCCCCATCATCAAATAGATCAACTTCAAGATCGTCACACTCGTGTTCAAATCCCTTCACTCTCTGGCACCTCCTAACCTCTCCGACCTTCTCACTCCCCAATCCACCACCTGGTGCCTCCGCTCGACTGACACCGGCCTCCTGCTCATCCCTCGCATCCTCCGCCCCACCATCGGAGGTTGCGCTTTCAGCCACTACGCCCCGAAACTCTGGAACACTCTCCCTCAATCCCTCCGTCTTGCCCCCTTTTTCAAGTTCCACCAGAAAACCTTCCTCTTCAACCGTGCTTACAGTCACCTTCCCCCCCCTTTGAGACGCTATCCGACATGGAGGGCGCTCTATAAGTGCAAGTTGTTGTTGTTGTATACAGAATGGCCTGCTCCCATTCCTGTTACATGTTTCCTACCCTAGCTTCCCTTGGTGGGCAAGCATTCAGGCATTCTATTCCCTACTTCTTGGAACTCCATCTCAGAGATCCTCTGCCTCGCCCCTCACCTATTAAGACAGCCGTAAGACAATTTTACGACCACTGTTGGTCACCTTCACCCTCCTCCCCAGTTCAGACTTCCAGTGAGCCATGTGAAGTGCTTTGGGATGTCCTTCTGACATGAAAGGCGTTATGCAAATGTAAACCGTGGTTGTTGATTTAAGATGTTGCTGCGAGCACAAGCTTCCAATTCTTATTTTGTTGCTTCTGAAGATTATGAACAATTCAATTCTGACTCAGTGAATCAAACTTTGACTTAGTGGCTCAAAAAATGGCTCACATGGAAGGGATAAAATGCTATAAATTTGATGTGGTGAGGCACCATAACATTTCAAGTTTTTTCATTTACTACCCCTATGGCGAGCACTCAACAATAGATTTATTTTTCTGGGAAAGGGATTGGGTGAGAATTGACAACAATCAATTTTCATGCAATGAGATCCCATAAACAGCATTTAATGTGTACTTTTCCATCTCAGAGAAATTAACACAACCAACGAATGTATTATCACCCTCCTTTGCATTTGCCGGAGTAATGATAATTGCTGTTTACCAGGTTAATAAGAGGAAATCAGTATATGATTTCTTTCAAAATAGCACCATGTGATCTTTAGCATGCCACTAAACACACCTCTGTTAACATTTCATCTGAAAGATGGTAATTTCTACTTTGCAGTGTTCACCTAGCATTGCGCTGGAGTGTCCGCCTGGACTCTGAGCTCAAAGCCTCAACCTGGGATTTGAATTTATAGTCTTCTGGATCAAAGATGAGATTGCTACCAACTGAGGAAGGCTTCATATTATAAAGTCACAAATTGCAAACTTGTAACCAATGTGATTTTGACAATTTTTCAATTAGGTTTATGACAAGAACAACAACAACAACTTGCATTTATAAGTGAATGATCTGGGGAATTGTTGGCCAGGACACTGGGAAAAACTCCCTTTTTTGAACACTCCCAATGGGATCTTTAACATCCACCTGAACAGGCCGTGGGCTCAGCCGAAAGACAGCTCACCCAGCACTGCACAGGAGTGTCAAACTGGACTGTGAGTCCCACTGTGGACCTTGAACTCAGAACCTTCTGACTCAGAAGCAAGCATGCTACCAACTGAGCCAGGCTGACACTCATATTAACAAATTTAGTTATTTGGGATTGTTGCATTACTCATTCACAAAGTATATTTTCACAATTTGTTTGAAACTTTATTCCCATTACGTTTGAGATAAGGACATCTATTCCTTTGTTTTAACCTCAGGTGAAAATGAAATCCTCAGTGTTCTACACAAGATTTCAAGCAAGAATAAAATCTGGAGATCCTACATTGGAATGGGCTATTACAACTGCTCGGTGCCACAATCAATTCTCCGCAACCTGCTAGAAAATTCAGGATGGTAATGCTTTCTTAGTTTAAATGCACTTCCCTAAATGCTTTAATAATGAAGGAGAGGCAGCTCGAAGCTGCAGAGGATTGGTGCGGAGGTTGTTATGCAATAGTGTGCTCGGGTGCACATTTGTACAAGTGGTATTCTTGCAAACTGCCAAAGAATGAACTCTGGGGCATAAGAATAATAATCCTTGCATTTGATATCGTGCCTTACCATGTCGTTGAGATGTCAGCCCGAGCTCCCAGTTGGCTCAGTGAAGCGCTTTAAGATGTCCACTTGACAAGAAAGGCACTATATAAATGTGCAGTTGTTGCTGTTGTTGTGGTAGATTCGGATGGACATTTTTCAAAGGCAGCAGATTGACATATCAAGACATTATGTATTGAGGAATCAAGGTACTATGGTGATTCCAGGCCCTGAATCAAGGCCAAGAACTTGCTGTAGCCATTGGTTTCAAACAGGAGCTGAGAGTATATATTTTCCTGTGGTCTGTTGGGCCTTTCAGAGTTTCAGGTGAGAGCTTGTCAGTTCAGTTGGAAGAAACAAATCTCTGGGGCCACACAACAATAACAAATTACATCTGTATAGTGCCTTTCACGTCGGGAGGACGTTCCGGGGTGTTTGGCACTCACCGCCCCCTCCACCTAAGACATAGAATGGGGGGTCGGCTGCATTCAATGAAGAAAAAAATATTGGTCATTCAATCCACGACTGTTTGTGGGACCTGATGTGAGCAATTGGCTGCCGAGTTTCGGCCTCAAAACACACAGTCATTACACTTTACAGTATATTCCGTGAAGCGCTTTGAGACGTCTCGAAGATGTGATAAGGCGCTATATAAATTAAATCTTGTTGTTGTTGTATATCAAATGCAAGGATTATTATTATTATTAATACTATGGGGCCAGAGGCAAAGTGATACTGAGAATTAAAGTATGTAATTTGAATTCAGACTTTTCACAAAAGAACATGGTTATACAACACCACCAAAGAGGTAAAAAGGACATGTTTATAGTACAAAAACATCCAAAGTTACATTTAATAGTGGTCTTCTTGCAGGATAGCATCTTGGAATGCTGTTGGAATGCCGAGCAAAGGGGAGGGGGAAGGTTGGAGGTAATTATTGGCACAGTATAAGAAATAGGTCTTAAGGTGGGATTTAAGATGGGGAGCCAGTAGAGCCTGGTTTGGGGTGATAGGTTTGTAGAGTTTGGTTCATACAGCCTGGGAGTGGTGATAATTGTAGAATGGAGGGTATTATATAAGTGCGAGTTATTGTTGTTGTATGTGGTATTTACACCTCAGATCTACAGGGCATTCATCTTGCTTAAAAGCAAACGAGTGTTATGAGGGGAACCTTATAATGGGGTTCTACTGTATTAACCTTTCAGTCTTCAAAAACAAAAATGTTCTGGTGTGGCTTTGCTGTTGCAGTACTCGCAGGGTTAAATGAACCCTCCAGGATCGGACCAGGCCTTGCAATGGCCCCATCATTAAAACATTCCTTTAATTAATATTTTGAAACTGTTCAAGCGAGTGAGAGAAACGTGAAGTACACCACACAGTGTACAATGTACAAAAAGAGACGCTGTTTTTGTTCCCACCTCCTGTTGCCCAAACTTAACAGGGACCAGAATTTTCAGCCTTGTTTCCCTCTGTTTACTCAGCTCTGCTTTTAAAATGCCCCGAGTTCTTCTTTAAAATGTCAAATATAATTGCCACAAAATTGTTAATAGATGAGAGGAACGGGTTACACAAGAACATAGTACATCATATGTTCTATGTAATGATCTAAGAACTGAATAGTGGATAACAAATTATCTAGGGCTATTAAAGAGATTCTTATTGCAACAACCCAGTAAGGTTACCTAGTAACCGTCTTAAATTACACCAGTGTGATGTGAAAGTAGAAGGCAAACTTTAGAAAAGAAGGTATAAAGAAATTTTGTTGTTGGAATAAATTTACATAAATTGGTTGCTGGGACAAAAAATGGAATTTGGTGATGTATTTTTCACCTCATTGACACTGCCCTTTTTATTGCTAGTATATTCATGTCATTGACATAGACAACCTGCTCGCATTGGCACTGTTTATGCTTTTGAGCGAAGGTGGAAAAAGGAAAAAACATTTAGGGACGCTCTCGATTATAATAATAATAATCCTTGCATTATTGACTGAAGTTGTTATCAACAAGATTAACTTAACTAGTGGAAGGGAACTCCAGGGCGTTAGATTATAAGTTAATAAGTTATTGTAACCCTGTATAACTCATTGGTACAGCCACATTTTAAATATTGTGGCCAATTTTAGGTGTTTCCCCTTCAATAGGGCATTGGTGTATTGCAGCTAGGAATGAAAAATAAATCCAGGACTGAATTTGGATGAAACCCTTGCTCAATTAAACTTGATTTTCATTGGGAAAAGAATGAGGTGAGGGGAAGGTGTGATCCATGTATTTAAAATAGTGCACCCAAACTGTAGAAAGTAAATGTAATATAATATATAGTAATAATCCTTACATTTGATATAGAGCCTTATCATGTTGAGACATTTCAAAGCACTTCACAGAATATAATAATAATCCTTGCATTTGATATAGCGCTTTTCACGTCTTCCAGACTTCTCAAAGCACTTCATAGAATATGCTGTAGAGTTAATTGACTGTATATTTGTGGGCAAAACGTGTCAGCCAATTGCACACAACGGTGTCCCACAAACAGTCGTGGACTGAGTGACCAAATTATTATTATTATTTTTTTTAGGGATTATTGTCCCCGGAAAAGCGATCCGCCCATCGACTAATAATCGGGTTCCTACTTACTGCTAGGTAAAACTATAATGTGAATTTGTGGGCAAAACAAGGCAGCCAATTGTGCACAGCACTGTCCCACAAAGAGTTGTGGATTGAATGACCAAATTATTATTATTATTATTTGTTTTTGGTGGGACTATAACCCAGGAAAGTGATCTGCCAATCGACTAACAACAGGGTTCCTACTTACTGCTAGGTAAACAGAGGTTTGAGGAGTAATGAAGCTTACCTAAGGTTTCGCTCTGCCTGGGAATTGAGCTTGTCAGGCGAGTGCTCTAACCGATGCACTACAGGACTCCACTATAGAAAAGTAACAGTCATCCTTGCATTTGATATAGTATCTTTCACATCAGGGTTGTCTCAAAGTGCTTTGCAGGATTTACTGTAATGTAGTCGCTGTTTATTCTGGAGTGGAAAATGATTGCTTAAACTAAAAGAGCAAGAATGTTTCCAAACTAGAAAGCCTCAAGCGAGATTAGAGATTTATTGTAGTTTTTATGGTACATGAATTGACACTTTCTGAAAGATGTCTATCTGGCAAACAGGATTGAAAGTTAGAATAGATAGTGCAAGAATAGATGTATTGGTGAAACATTACTCTGCAGAATACTCTGACTCCAGTCTTGCTAGCACCATGAAATTATCATCTGTAAAAATGCATCGTGAAGCCAGAGTGAGTAATTTAGGTTGTAAAATTAGATTGGTATTTTGGGATTTTAATCTGATCACCATTTGGATCCAGGCAAAATATGAGAGATTTACCTTGCATCTCATTTGTACTTCACTTTTAAATCAATCAGACACAATCTTCATGTGGTACTTTCGCCCACAAATATAGTCAATTCACTTTACAGCATATTCTATGAAGCGCTTTGAGACGTGAGAAGCGCTATATCAAATGCAAGGATTATTATTATTACTCAATTAATTGATTGGTAGATCGCTTTTCAGGGGAAATAATCCCTTAAAAAAAATTACTCAATCCACAACTGTTTGTGGGACACTGCTGTGCGCAATTGGCTGCCTCGTTTCACCCACAAAATATAGTCAATTGATTTTGCAGTGTTCTGTGCTAACCCTTTGAGATGTCTTGAAGATGCGATAAGGTGCTATATTAACAACAACTTGCATTTATATAGCACCCTTCACGCGGGGTAATGTCCCAGAGCACTAGTCAAGGACGCCACCCCAGATACAATGCAATAATAATCTTGCATATCAAATGCAAGGATTATTATTATTATTATTTCGACACTAAAAGTGCAATATTGTATAAATGCAAGACATCAAATTTTGAACCTTATTCCAGATTTTTAAAGTTCTTAGTTAAACTCCCGACTTTCTTTTAAAATAAAGTAATTGTCTATCATTTGATGTTGGTTTGCTCTCAACTTTATGAGTTGAAGCTCCCCTCAGCCCCTGGAGAGAGCAATGTGCAGTGTAGAATCCCATTCAGAATTGCTCTACAACTAGATGTGATTACTTTTAGCAGTATAAAAGAAGCATTAGAAATTTTACTTGTGTTCATTAATTTATCTTCAGAGGTAAAGTAAGTTTGGGGAGAGAGAGTCCATTACACTAGATTCTGCATGTAGTTATTTGGAAGGCATGAACTCAAGAGGCCTTGGCTCATTCCACGCCTTTATGTTTTGCACAGCTAGTACCATGCTACCAAATTATTCTTCCAACTCACTGGCACAACCTCCGCACAGTTGGACTTTGTGAAAGGAAAGTGACAGGACTCCACTACACTGCACACTTTGAATGTGTAGTTTTGTTTGTTCCCATCAGTGCTTTATAGTGGTGGTGGGTTTGCTGTTCACTGAAGCAATAAAACTTTTTTTAGAAACGGTGAAGAAAATCACTTCAATGTGTCAATCGTACTGCATTTCATTCAGCACGGTTTTAAAATCTACAAATGGAAAACAGACCGGAGGTGGGGAAGGGGGAAACAATCCCCATCACTGCTTCTCATCGCCATGCTTGGTACATATGTGTGTGATCGAGATTATCTGGGCCACAGAACACTTTACACAAGTAACCAGCAAATGCTTTGATAGACACTGTGCTTCTCTAGGGCAGCATTGGACTTAGCAAACTTTTCTAGACCACCTAGAGAATGCTCTGGTGTCTTTACAGTAAGACCTGCATAAGTCCGATCTGTATAAATCGTATAATCACTTACAACTGCCCAAGTCCCATTCAAGAGTTTATAATCTATATATTCTACGCAAGTTTGAGATAACTCATATTTTGCACAAATCATATTAAATGTATTGTCCCAACTGATACGACTTACTTGAGGTTCATGAGGTTTACTGTACTCTCATCTACAAGCTCAGACAAGAAGTGGAAGAACTGCCCCATTGCATGTAGATGAGACTGCAAGTTATTGAGACTTGTAACTACACTCATAGGAATGTAATGCTGTACTCCTATATGCTTTCCCTCCCAGCCCCTGTACGTTTCCATTGGCAAACTTTTCTAGACCACATAGAGAATGCTCTGCTGTCTTTACAGTAAAACCTGCATAAGTCAGATCTGTATAAATCGTATAATCGCTTACACGTGCCCAAGTCCCATTCAAGAGTTTATAATCTATATATTCTACGCAAGTTTGAGATAACTCATATTTTGCACAAATCATATTAAATGTATTGTCCCAACTGATATGACTTACTTGAGTTTCATGAGGTTTACTGTATTCTCATCTACAAGCTCAGACAAGAAGTGGAAGAACTGCCCCATTGCATGTAGATGAGACTGCAAGTTTTTGAGACTTGCATTTACACTCATAGGAATGTAATGTGTCTCTCCTATATGCTTTCTCTCCCTGTACGGTTCCATTCCCTTCTCCATTGTTTAGATTCATTGTATAGCGCCTTTGCACACCCTCCTTACATGAAAGGCGCAGTACAAATGTAATGTATTGTATTATTGGTTGCTGCATGTATATTTTATAAATAACTTATTAGTAATGAGGTGATGTCTTTTTCAAAATGAAAACACCTTAGAGGAGGAATTGGATGGGAGGCGTGGAGTAATGAAACCTTTGTGCTTCTGTTTGCCAGGGTTACCCAGTACACTCCGTATCAGCCTGAGGTGTCTCAGGGCAGACTGGAGAGCTTGCTAAACTACCAGACCATGGTGTGTGACCTCACCGGAATGGATGTGGCCAACGCTTCCTTGTTGGATGAGGGAACGGCTGCAGCAGAGGCGATGCAATTGTGCCACAGGTGAGATAACCAGAGGGTCTGATCTCGAATTCTCCTCTCCCAGCGGGCAGCTCTGTGTCAACTTATTCATTTCCCTTGAGGTCACATTAGTTTCTGTAAACTTGGTCTGAAGAACACAAAGTGGCATTCTTAACACCACTCGTTTGCAGTAGGTTTCTTGTATATTCCTTAGGTCTTCTGGGCTGTTGTTCACATTGTCCTGGCTTGTAGGCAAATTCCAGTCATTGGAGACCAAAGTATGGTGATTTCTAGCAGGATTCCTTAACAAACAAACTGGAAGTACAGAGTATCCACAAAGTCCTGTTACCCCCTGTTACAAAACAGTGATATGAGACTATGAAGGAGCTAAAACAAGCTCTCAGAGGTGCATTTCGCCTTATCACTCCATTCATGTTACCAAAATGTACCGAACATGGTGACGAAAATCTGTCGTGAAAATGATGGCGCTCACACACACCGATCCTCTGGACGGCTACATACAGTTAAACACTTGTACGGAATACAATTAAGTGCTTCTAAATACATTTACCGTAATTTTTCCACACGTTTCAGTTGTTGGCCAGTGAACTGTAGAAAAAACCTGGGGGTAACAGGACTTTGTGGATACATTGTATCTCTGCACAGTTGGACTCTGTGAAAGGAAAGTGACAGGACTCCACTACACTGCACACTTTGAATGTATAGTTTTGTTTGTTCCCATCAGTGCTTTATAGTGGTGGTGGGTTTGCTGTTCACTGAAGCAATAAAACTTTTTTTAAGAAACGGTGAAGAAAATCACTTCAGTGTGTCAATCGTACTGCATTTCATTCAGCACGGTTTTAAAATCTACAAATGGAAAACAGACCGGAGGTGGGGAAAGGGAAAACAATCCCCATCACTGCTTTTCATCGCCATGCTTGGTACATATGTGTGTGATCGAGATTATCTGGGCCACAGAACACTCTACACAAATAACCAGCAAATGCTTTGATAGACACTGTGCTTCTCTAGGGCAGCATTGGCCTTGGCAAACTTTTCCAGTTACTGCCTAGCGGGAAGCTTGCTTTGCTGTGATCTACTTTCAGGGCAGAGTTCCTGTGAATCAGCGTGATGTGTGTGCTTTACTTCCACTTACTAGACAGTGGGTGTGGGGGTGGGGGGGGGTGTGTGGGGTGGTGTGGGGTGGGTGAGTGGGGGGTGGGTAGCCGGTCTCCACTCGGTTTCCTCGTTAGGGAGTAGGGGGTTGGACATCACTGCACATTGAACTCCATTGAGCTAAGAGTCGTTTGCTTCCTATCATTCTCCAGGCTCAACAAACGCAGAAAGTTCTTCGTGGATGCTCATTGCCATCCTCAAACAATTGCAGTTGTGCAGACACGAGCAAAGTACGTCAATATTTCACATTGTATCTTCCCTCCCTGTTTGAAGTCCCCCCCCACACACACCTCTTCCCCCATGGAATATTTTCTAGGTTACAATTAACTCCTGATAATCCTGTTGACTTGCTGATAATCATTCTGTCAATGATGGCAATTAATTATGCCTACCTCGTCACTGAGCCCTTTTCTGTTGGAGTGATACGTTATCAGAAGTTCACAGTGACACAAACTAATAAGTCAGCAGTTTGAAATCTGCTAAATTGTTCAGATCAACCCTTAACCCTTAGCGTGCTAGAAAAAATATTTTAACTTCATGTACACTGTCCATTACAATTCTTCTTTCTAAAAAAAATCTTTAAAAATAATTTCTCTTCTGGCTCACGTTGTGTATTCTGGAGGTGACGGATCCTCTTTTTTAAAAAAAACAAGTGTCTTACATTTTACATTGGGTTTAAAAAAAAGTACTCATTATAAAGCAGTATAAATGACATCTCGAGGATCCATGAGAACTCAGCTCCAAACAGACGTCTGGTTAATGCCAGTATCTTGCACATCTCGTGCAAGAGGTTCCCAGATGGACTTGGGACTTTACATCCCAAGGCGCTTTCCTGGTGAGGAACCATTAAAATAGCTGTTTTCCCGAGCAAGTAGCGAATAGTTGGCCAGGGTGCATGAGAATTCTAATTTCTATATTTGCTGGATTCTGTGAGCCTGGGTTTGATTTGTTCTTTGCTGTATCTCTCCTCTCAGTTACATAGGAGTCACGACAGAGTTGAAATTGCCCCACGAGATGGATTTCAGCAGGAAGGATATCAGTGGTGTGCTGTTCCAGTACCCAGATACTGAGGGAAGAATTGCCGATTTTTATGAACTTGTTGACCTCGCACATCAAAACGGGGTGAGTGAGAGAATTGAGCTTGTGACTGACCGGCATGCTGATTAGCTGTGGCTTAGAGCTCCCATTGTGCTGACCAAAATGATTTGATAATAAGCTGTTCTGTAGCCAGCCTAACCTTGTGTTAGCTGTATCAGTGAGTCTGTGTAGTTAACCTAAAACCATGTGTTTGCTTTTACATGGTAGAGCAGTATATTTGAATCCTATAATTATAATAATAATCTTTGCATTTGATACAGCGCCTTATCACATCATCGAGACGTCTCAAAGTGCTTCACAAAATATACTGTAATGTGGGACACCTTAGGTCATTCTTCCGACGTGAAAGGCGCTATACAAATATAATTTGTTGTTGTTGATTGACTGTGTATTTTGTGGGCGAAACACAGCAGCCAGTTTTGTAATGCTCCTTTTAGGCTTATTTATTTTTATTTATTGATTTATTTTCATGTCCTTGTTCAAGAAAGGGGTGGAGGTGGGGTGGTAGAAATCTGTGCATTGTTAATCTTTTCATAATCTCTTCTAATTAAACGAGAAAATAATAATCCTTGCATTTGATATAGCTCCTTATCATGTCTTCGAGATGTCTCAAAGCGCTTTACAGAATTTACTGTAAAGCGAAATGGCTGTATATTTTGTGGGTGAAATGAGGCAGTCAATTGCACACAGCAGCCAATCCACAAACAGTCATGGATTGAGTGACCAAATTATTTTTATTTATTTTGAAGAAATTTTTACCCCCGGAAAAGCAATCTGCAAATTGACTAACAACTGGGTTCCTACTTAGTGCGAGGTAAACAGAGGCATGTGGAATAAGGAAACTTGCCCAACGTTTCACCCTGCCAATTTGAGGGTTGCCAGGTCCTCTCACTTGCTCTAACCACTACGCTACAGGATTCCAAATAATCATCTCATTGCTAATCAGTTACGGCATGTAGGATGATGTAATGTTAGTTTGAATTTGCACATGGAGGCAGAGAGATAGGGAAAGAAAGGCTGAGAGTAACAAATGTACAACGTATGATTCTAAAGAAACATAAAATAATATGAACTGGGAGGGGAGTTCCTGGAAAAGATTGTTATTTTAACACATTTATCTCAAAGTGAAATAACACTGCATTTTGACTTATCTTTCATCTCATTCTTCCAGAATACCCACACTACCATCCCCATCACAGTATGAAGTTGTTTTTTTNCAAATGAGTCCAGTGTCTGGCCTCTACCAACTATCTTGGTAACCTTTACCAATCGTTAATTACCCTCTGAGTAAGGAAAAACTTCCTGTTGTCTGAACTGAAAATGCCCTTTGCAACTCAAAACGTATGCCCTATCCCAGCTCACCCATGAATGATGACTAGATGTGAGAGGTACCAGAAACAATCTGTACTCTTAGAGCCATACCCCAGCGGGAGGAAGAATGGAGTTGGAATGACTTCCAGAAGCCAGAAGGGGAGGGAAATTTAGTGGAGAAATGTGAAAACTTGAGAAACAGTATAAGCGAGTTCTATAAAGTGAGTGGCTAAAAAGACAACTTGGATTGTTGTTATGCTTTTAAAATGTTTGTGGATATTCAGGGGAAATGTGATGGGGTGACTACAAATGGGAATCAGGATGGAAGCAAACCCGAAATAGTCAAGGTGACCAAAAAAACATGATGTTCCATAAGAATGAAATTACAGTATATCCGCTTAATATAAAGTCTGAGATTGGAACTAAATAGAAGGCATGTGTCGTAAGGTTACAGATTCCCATTGTGATTTGAGTTAACCTTTAAATCCTTTCATGGTCTCACCCCACCTTACCTCTGCGTCAGTGGTCCAATAAGCTAGAGTGTTACATTTGTCCAATAGGCCACAGTGATAGATTGGTCCAACAGACTGATATGGAAATTCTTGATGCTAGCACTGGGTACCAAAGTAAAAAAAAGCATTCCATTGCCCAGTGCTGATGTCCCTTACATTGACCAGCACAAAGAATAAAAATTATAAAGGTTTGGAGCTTAAAATGGAAAAAAAATGCAGTTTTTATTTTAATAATTCAGAACTTTGGGAGTTGCAGATATTCAAAAACCTTATTTTGTCCCTTAATTTCCAGGCCTTGGCGTGTTGTGCAACTGACCTCCTAGCGTTGTGTGCACTGAGACCTCCTGGAGAATTTGGTGTTGATATTGCCCTTGGTAGCTCACAGAGGTTTGGTGTACCACTGTCTTATGGAGGCCCGCATGCAGCTTTTTTTGCTGTCAGGGAAAACCTTGTGAGAATGATGCCAGGAAGGATGGTGGGGGTTACCAGGTATGAGAAAACCAGCAATGCTTTTGACTATCAATCTGTGGCCTGTCTAAACTTGGTAGGGTTATATGCATAATGTTATCACTTCCCTGTATTGTAACTCCTAAGTCTATTGCACCGACACCTATGTTTTGGTTCACTATCCAGCTGTAGCACAATTTGATAGATCTGTGAGTAAGAAGTTAATCTACTCTCAAATATATGTTTCAAGTGAAAATGAATTTACTTCCTCAAATGGAGCTTTGTGGAAATAGAGCTCTTGTCGACCAATGTTAACTGTTAGCTTCACAGATGACTTTTCTAAAGGAACCAAGGCTATGGACTTAGCTGTAGTTTGTTCCAGGCAAATTGGTGTCCTTTCTGCTATTCCTCTTCCTAATAATAATAATAATCCTTGCATTTGATATAGCGCTTTTCACGTCGGGAGGACGTCCCAAAGCGCTTCACAGAACACACTGTAAAGTGAATTGACTGTATATTTGTGGGCGAACGTGGCAGCCAATTGCGCACAGCAATGTCCCACAAACAGTCATATGGATTGAAAATGACCAATTTTTTTATTGGTTTTGGTTTTGGAGGGATTATTATTAGGCTCTGTGTGGAGTAAGGAAACTTGCCCAAGGTTTCGCCCTCTGCCTGGAATTGAACTCAGGTCTCTCACTTGCAAAGCGAGTGCTCTAACCACTGAGCTACAGGACTCCACGGGGTATATTCCGTTCCTGTAGGAAATAATCAAACTGTCAAATACAACAATGAGATGATAATTCTGGACACTGGTAATAATAATAATAATAATCCTTGAATTTGATACAGTGCTTTTCATGTCTTCTAGATGTCTCAAAGCGCTTTACAGAATATATTGTAAAGTGAATTGACCGTATATTTGTGGGCGAAACGCAGCAACACAGCAGTGTCCCACAAACAGTCGTGGATTGAGAATGACCAATTTATTATTGTTTTGTTTTGGAGAGATTATTATTAGGTGTGTGGAGTAAGGAATCTTGCCCAAGGTTTCGCCCTCAAGGTTTCCTGGTCCCACAAACTATTATTTTCTGACCTACATGAGCTGGCTGTAAACCAGTATATACAATTTAATTAAAGAGGATGTGCCATATCCCCAGCAGGAAAGGTGGGTGAGGGGAAACATGACTATAAGCACAGTTGAAGAAGTGTTTAAAGACAGATAGAGAGGGAGCTTGGCTGGGTGATTTAGGGTGTTGCCAAACCTCACGTTGGTGGTATTGACCACAAATATACGGTCAATTCACTTTGCAGTCTATTCTGTGAAGCACTTTGAGACGTCAAGAAGACGTGAAAAGCGCTATATCAAATGCAAGGATTATTATCATTATTATTATTGACTGAACAAATTGTCAAACATTGATTAGCAGAGTGGTGAGAACAAGAGAGTAAACCACACAAACAGCTTAGACTGGTGTCTCTCCTCAATATCAGTGTCACCCTAGCTTAATTTCATCCACTCTCTTCCCTAAGAGTATATATTGTTCTGCAGGATTATTATTTTATTGTTCTCTATTGAAGGAATGAGTTGTCCCATTTGAGTTTTGAACCCCAAATCTTCTGGTGATCAACCTATGGATCTTTGTTGTACAAAGAAAAATGCAAATTGCTCAACTCCAAATTAAATAGAACAACAACAACAACAAATAAGAATTTTAACAACAACAACAAAGAATTTCCCAAAATAAACTCAATTCACTACATTTACAACTAAGCATTAAGATACTGCCCTGAGGCAGCGAGGTTATGTGAAGTGAAACAAACAACCGAGTCTGAAAACATTCCGTGACTATTAGAAATAATGTGTACAGTACAGTACTTCCAACTGAGCTGAAAGCAACTTTGTGTCTACATCTTGTAAACAATACATATCTTCGAAATCGCATTAAAATCTTTGGCCTGCTATGAATCTATAAATAGCTTAGCCTGATATTATTTATTTAGGGGGAATGCATAATTTTTTAATAATAGTAATCCTTGCATTTGGTGTAGTGCTGTGGCATCTTGTTTGACCCTTAACTATGCTTTCTACCCCACATCAGTGCCTTGATCCATTCTGCGTTCCCCCACCACAGATACCCTCATACACGGATTCAAAACATCCAGGCTCGACTATGCAAACTCCCTGCTTGTCGGCCTCCCCAACTCCTCCCTCCATAGGCTGCAGATCATCCAGAACACTGCAGCCCGCGTCCTCTCCCACACCAGGCTCAGTGACCCTATCACTCCCACCCTCGCCCGACTTCACTGGCTTCCCATCACACAGAGGATACAGTTCAAGATCCTGGTCCTCACCTTCAAAGCCCTCCATGACCTTGCTCCCCCCTACCTCTACAATCTCCTAACTCCCTACCAACCTGCCTGCTGTCTGCGCTCAGTGGGCTCTGGGCTGCTTCACATCCCCCGCTTTGACCGCCCCACCATTGGCAAGTCTTCAGCCGCTCTGCCCCCACCTTCTGGAACTCTATCCCACAGTCCCTCAGCCTCGTCCCCTCCCTTGCCTCCTTCAAGACCCACCTCAAAACCCTCCTCTTTGACCATGCTTTCGATTACCCTCGATCCCCCTGCCCTCCACCCTCCCCGATCCTGACCCTCAGCTCGGGTCCGAAACACTGACTGTCCAGTCCCTTGGACGTCCTAATGACGTGAAAGGCGCTATACAAACGTTGTTGTTGTTGCCTTAACATGACTTCGGGATTTCTTAAAGCGCTTCACAGAATATACTGCAAAGTGAATTGACTATATTTTGTGGGCGAAACCCAGCAGACAATTGTGCACAGTAGTGTCCCACAAACATTTGTGGATTGAGTGACCAAATTATTATTATTATTGAATTATTTTTCAATGAAAAGGCAGTTTCTGAGTATGTGTTTGCTTTCCATGTAATCTCGATGCAATGCACTGCAAATAATTATTAGTAATAATAATATTTTAAAATCTGGAGTTTAAAATCTTCTGAAAGTTTGCATTGTGTAACATAAGATGAGGGTGATTCTCTGTTCCTGCTTTGAATGTTTCTTATTCGTTCAGGGATGCAGCTGGAAAAGAAGTGTATCGTCTAGCACTGCAGACGAGGGAGCAGCACATCAGGAGGGATAAAGCTACCAGTAACATCTGCACCGCCCAGGTAAAGCCAATCCCACAATCTGCTCAGTACTTTACTACTAGCTGTTTCCACTGCATTGAGATCATCAAATTGTTTTTTTTACTCTCATCAACTTTACTCTTGGCCTTTGTCTGCAAACACTCAATCTGTAGCACGGGTTTTGCAACTACGCAGTTTCCATGACAGCCCTTGACTCACAGTGAAAGCACTGTTGCTTTTACTTGTAAAAGAGATCTGGGATTTCCCGTAGTTTCTCTCAATCTTGCATAGCATCAGAAAAAACCTTGTGAGTGACACGTGGTGAAGGGGCATGGGGTAAAAATTAAAATGTTACGGTGCTGTGCTTAGTGCACAGGTATATAGAATTCTTTGTAGCAATTACAATTTGACCCGTTACCATGAGAGTCAGAAGATGCACAGGAGTAGGAACCTATTACAGGGGTGTCTTATTTTAAATCAATAGGAATAAAAACCCTACCAATCACTATAGCGCCTGTCACATTGGGAGGATGTCCCAAAGTGCTTCGCAGAATATACTGTAGAGGACTGTGTATGTTTTGCGGGAAGATTACAGTTACACCTGATTGATATTCCCCTTGGTTACTTTGGCAGTGTTTTGGATTCATTTCATCAAATAGTAGGCTTGGTGTTTTCAAAATGGAAAAAAACTAAGAAGGAGAAATGAGAAATTGCGTAGCTCAGGCAGACAAAATCAAAATGGCGAAAGTGAAGAGCCTGATGAGAAGGCCATGTTAAGAGCTAGATCTGAGAAAACGTCAATGTTGCAAACACAAAAAACATTGACTGGTGGATATGATTTGCACCAAAGTGGATCATTGAAAGGATGGACTTTCTCCTGAACTGAGGAACTCTAACAGTGCCATTGCTCTAACTGAGGAACACCAATTCTAGCCAGGCTCCACTGGCTCCCTATCGCTGAACAGATCAATTTCAAGATCCTCACACTCATTTTCAAATCCGTTCATACCCTGGCACCTCCCTACCTCTTTGACCTGCTTATTCCCAAACCCACTGCCCGCTGCCTCCATTCGACTGGCTCCGGCCTCCTGCATGTCCCTTGTGCCTTCCGTTCCACCAAAGGTAGCCGCGCTTTCAGTCACTACGCTCCGAAACTCTGGAACACTCTTCCTCTATCCCTTCACCTTACTCCGCCCTTCCCTATCTTCAGATAGTTCCTGAAGACCTTCCACTTCGACCGTGCCAATGGACAACTCCCTCCTCCCTCCGGCTTGGCATTGTGCTCCACCACTGTCAAGCCCTCTGGGAAGCTACCCTGAGAGGCGCTATATCAGTTATATGTTGTGAGGACCAGATGGGGAGTAAATCAGGGAAATAAATTCCTGAAAGGCTGGTAAAAGCAACACAAAATGCAAAGGAAAACAGAGCTTCTGAAGAACAAAATGGATGCAGTAAAAATATTGATGTATGTTGGACTGAAAGGAATAGGCCTCAATGATTGATGGCAACACTTTTCAACAGCCTTCTTGAGTTTCTGCAGATATAGATCCTTAAGGATGCAATGTGCTGTGAGTGCCTGGATTTACTGCATAAGGTTCTGTTACATCGATAGTATCAAGCACTTAAAGTCAGCACCCTTTTCAAAACAAATCGTGATGATATATTCCTAAGCAATCGTTTGCTTTGATTGCTCAATTGCTCCCATTTTGCATGAAGAAATATTGTCTCCTGTCTGAAGTAACTGTGTGTTTGCAATCTTTTCAATTTGGCTCAAGAAGTGGCTTTTAATGATTATATAACACAGAGGATCAAATGGATTCCAGTCTTCCACTGCTAGGAGGTGATCTTTGAGGCAGCTCAGCCCCAAAGAGAGCACACTGTCCTCCCACCCAAAGAGGATAGACACTAAATGGTCATTAGAAATATATTTATACTGATTTTCCTATTCTCTTCTGTTGCCCTTAATTTGAAGATCTGATGATGGTAAGGCTATGTATCACAGGAAGTAGAGGATACTCAGTATCTTGAGACCCTCTTGCGATAAGACCCTCAGATAGTTCCCCTGTTCACCATGACCTATTTTGAAGTACTGTATGAGAAAGACTGACAACTCCATTTGAAGAATGAGGAGGATACTCTTACCCAAGCATCTACTAAATAAAAAGTAAGATGTAGCAAAATTAAAAGTAAGATGTAAGATCTTACTGTTAAAAAAAATGATGGGAAAGAAAGGTTCCTGGCCAAAAAAAGTGAAAATATATATGTTTTATATGTATAACAATTGGATTTGAATTGATGAATATGTGTTTGATCGGTACTGACATCTGCGCCAGACGGAGTGAAGCTACAACAACAACAACTTTAATTTATATAAAGCCTTTCACGTGGGGTAGGGTCCCGAAGCTATACCCAGCACAAATAGCCCATTGCAAGATTAAAGCTTTAAATCTTGAGAATCTTTGAAATGTTTATTGTTAATTTGTTAACTGTTCAAGAGGTTTGGCATGAATTCTGCATCATAAACCATTACCAGTTGGTTTGTTTCCAGTCTGAATAATACTGATAGGAGCGGGAAATATGAACCTGGTCTGGCATTCAACATTGCTGGCTTATTTGCTCCAGCCAGAACTACCAAAAAGAAGTAAACTTTGTAAATCAGCAGTATTACAGAGTTTATTTGACTGGAGCAAATAATAACGATGATAATATTCCTTGCATTTGATATAGCGCCTTTCACTTCAGGAGGACGTCCGATAGACAATATGTACTGTAAAGTGGAGTGACATCTGTTTTGTGGCCAAACTTGGCAGTTAATCTTGCACACCGTAATGTCTAACTAATGTCCAAGCAGTGAATAATCAATTTTATTTGGAGGATATGTTGGCCAGAACACCGGGAGAAACTCTTTCTCTTTTCAAATAGTGCCATGGGATCTTTAACGTCCACCTGGATAGGCAGACAGGACCTTGGTTTAACATCTCATCTGAAGGATGGCACTGCTGACAATGAAGCATTCTCCCAGCACTGCTTTGGAGTGTCAGCTTAGACTGTGAATTCAAAGTCCTAGATGTGTGGCTTGAACCCACAACCTTCTGACACAGAAGCGAGAGTATCACCGACCGAGCCAGGCTGATATAACAAATAAGGCAGTGGTGTGGATTGCCAGGCCAGATTTATATTGCCTGCCCTGTATCACTATAAATCATACTGCAAACAAACCAACCATTAATGGCTATGATCTGGAATTCATGCCAACACTGTTGAACAACCCTTTCAGGGATTCTCGAGATTTAGGCTTTAATCTTGCGATGAGCTCCTGTGTGCAATCACATTTGAGTGTTTGTAATTCCACCAGTGCTACTTTACTAGCACCCCGGAAAAGGCAGACTTGCAACATAATCAGAAACTTTTTTGCAGGAACTGTTCTGCAGATCTGTCACAAAAAGAAGAATTATCTTGAGTGAAAATAATACCACTTTTCTATGACAAGCCTGCCGCTTCAGGCAGCTGGTAATGTAATGTAAAAGCAGAGGCATTTCCCTGTGTTACCTGATCCCTCCAATAATAATTTTTGCATTGTGGACTCCTGTAGCTCAGTGGTTAGAGCACTTGCCTCAAAAGCGTGAGGACCTGGGTTCGATTCCTGGGCTCGATTCCTGGGCAGGGCGAAACGTTGGGCAAGTTTCCTTACTCCATGTGCCTCTGTTTACCGAAAAAAAAAACTAAATAATAATTTGGTGACTCAATCCACGACTGTGTGGGACACTGCTGTGTGCAATTGGCTGCCGTGTTTCGCCTACAAAATATACAATCAATTCACTTTACAGCATATCCTGTCAAGCGCTTTGAGACGTCTCGAAGATGTGAGAAGGCACTATATCAAGTGCAAGGATTATTGTTAGAATTTGGTATAGAGCCTTTCATGTCAATAGGGTGTTTCAAAGAACTTTACAGGATTTTGCTGTAAAATATAGTGGGCATGTATTCGGTGGGGGAGTGCAGCATCCAGTTTGCACAGCATTGCAGCTGATACTATTGCTCAAACTACTTATTTGTGCAATTTTTTGCAACATCCCACGAGCAGCTACTTACCCTCAATGATACCAGAAACTGTTCGGAAAAGTCCCTTAATATTCCGGTACACTATGTGTCCCAGGTTTCCAGTTGTCCATTGGTTTGATCTTTACATTAGTTATACTAATATTATGATCAATACTGACATTCACAAAACTTTCTACATCATATGACATTTCTAAGAAAAGCATCAGAGTATTTACGTGCAGTCATCACAGTTCATTTGAATTCAATTTAAAACACAAGACTTTTCAGAGGGTCAATTTCCACATGCAGTGACTGAACAATGCTTCTCTGTTGACGTTGGTTTGAACCAATGTCTAATTATATCTTTGCACTTTTTGCTGGAAGTTGCAATGAATGCAATGATTGCGCTTGGTGAACGACCATATCACAGCAAGACGCCTCACAAAATAAATACTTTGAAAGCAAAAGAAGCAGCTAATTTTGCAGCAGCTAATGTGCAGCAGCTAATGTGCAGCAGTAATGTCCCACAAACAGCAATGAGATGAAAGCAAAATTGAATCTGTTTGGGTGTGTTCGGATTAGCGATGATAAAATTTGGTCAGCACAACAGGGCACTATGTTTCAACATAGTTTTTCACATGAACCATCAGAGCAGACAGAACAACTGCAGGATTCAACGTTTCACTGCAGGAAACGTTAACTTAGAACTTCCTGGACTAGAGTTATGAGCTCAAATCCTGGTTATGAGCTCAAGCCCTGCATGCCCCCCACCCTTTGGAATTCCTTGACTACCCTCTCAAAATGATATTCACGAACATTATGCCAGGAGTCAAAGGGTTAAATTATGAGGACAGGTTGCATAAACTTGGTCTGTATTCCTTGAGTTTAGAAGGTTATGGAGTGATCTAATTGAGATTTTTAAAATGACAAAAGGATTCGAAGGGATAGACACAGAGAAACTATTTCCTCTGGTGGGGGAAATCCAGAAAAGGGGGCCATAATCTTAAAATCAGAGTTAGGCCATTTAGGAGTGAAACCTGGAAGCACTTTTTCACGCAAAGGGTAGTAGAAATCTGGAACTCTCTCCCCCCACCCCCGCAAAAGGCTGTGGATGCTGGTTCCTTTCAATTCTGAGGTGGATAGAATTTTATTAGATTAGGGTATCAAGGGATATGGGGCAAAAGTGGGCATTTAGAGTTGAGGTACAGATCAGCCATAATCTTATAGAATGATGGAACAGGTTTGAGGGACTGAAAGGCTTACTCCTGTTCCTATGTTCCAACTCATCCGCCTCTCAATCTGTCTTTAAATCCCACCTTAAAACCTGCCTCTGACCGCATCTATGGTCACCTCTCCATTCTCCCTTGCCCAGGTTCAGACTCTGCCACTGTGAAGCAATCCAAGAAGTTAACTTACATAAAGGGAGCTATATAAATGCAAGTTGTTGTTGATGTTCTAGGGAACCAATTGTGGTGCCCAGCTGCTGCATGCAGCTGAGGTTGACAACAGGGGCTTTCCTGTTTTTGTAGCTCGACTTCACACTAAAATGCCTTTACTAACCAAGCCATCAGGGTTGCGTACATCTGAAGTTTATTATCAAGGTTACTGCACCAGATGTTTTGAAAGTCTGTTGGAAGTGTGTCTGACGAAGCCAGACTACAGCTTCAGATGGGGGCTGTTGTGCTTGTGGCTTCACGCGCTGACCGGAGATGTTGTCCTTCTACTGCAGAAATGCCAAAAGAGATAATGCTTCTCAGACCCTGCCACAAGAACAGATTTAGCCTACAAATACCCAGCCATTAGACCTTACTGTAAATCTTGTGAAGCGCTTTGGGACGTCCTCCTGACGCAAAAGCCGCTATGCTAAGTGCAAGGACTATTATTATGATTATTTAGTGAAAATTCCCTGAGCTTCTGTGTAAACATATCAATTCAAAATGAAAAAGAAGGTGCTTTTTCTGTGGAAAATGTTTTTGGCGCTTATCAAGACGTCAGAGGTGGGGAATAAGAATGGGGAGTAAATTGTACAACATATTGAACCTGCTCCAGTACCATATTAGCACGTGGCACCTCTTTATCTTTTCAGATTCCCTGACCCCAACTTTTTTTCCAGTGCCATTTTCTATTCTCGGCTACATATAATAATAATAATCCTTGCATTTGATATAGTGCCTTATCACATCTTCAAGACGTTTCAAAGCGCTTCACAGAATCTACTGTAAAGTGAATTGACTGTATATTTGGGGGTCAAATGCGGCAGCCAATTACGCAATTTATTTATATATTTTTTAAAAAGGAATTATTACTCCCGGAGAAATGAATCGCCAATCGACTAACAATCAGGTTCCTACTTAGTGCTAGTAAACAGAGGGCGTGTGGAGTAAGGAAACTTGCCCAACGTTTCAGCCTGCTGGGAATCGAACCCAGGTCTCTCGCTTGTGAGGCGAGTGCTCTAACCACTGAGCTGCAGGACTCCACAAAACACAAGATTCTTTTCACTTTGGCTAGATTCAGGTCTGCTGGCTGGAGACATCCGAACTCACCGGTCAAGTGCTTGTTGGTTCCTACTCATTTCTATAATGGGGGACAGTAGGGTTTTGTAAAGCACGCTTCTGATCTTCAGTATGAGGCTGCTGCACGGATGTTTTATATTGAATTACATAACATTTTACAGCGTGGAAACAGACCATTTGCCCAATTAGTCCATATGGGTCTTCATATTCCACATGAGACTCCACCCCTTCATTGTATCAAAGCAATTAATTTTCTGGGTTTACATTGCTTCTCTCCTATCAATAGCATCCTGCCTTTAGATCCAATGCATTTCGTGGGTTTTACCCTCAAATCGTGCACTGACAGCTTAAACTGGTATTCAGATATCTGCACAACTGCAGGCCAAACCGAGGCATAGGGATCATGAATCGGTCAAAGCTTAACCCAAACCCACTATTTTTGCTCAGTAATTATGGTCTTAAGCATAATAATAATAATATAATAATCATTGCAACGTTCCACAAACAGCCATGAAATGAATGACCAATTTTAACCAATTGATGTGGAAAAGGGAAACTGTACAGTTCTGTAGCAGGGTTGTGGTAGTTGGGGATAGGGGCAGCAACTATCTTAAGAGAAGTTATTTGGGCACAATAGAAGGTTTAACCTACATCATCTTGTACTGTACCTGACCTGGGATTGTTTAATGATGACACGGCCCACAAAGAAGAACACAAACTATCACAGGAAAAGTAAAAATAGCCACCAGTGTTCAAACAATCAACCCCCACCACCCCATGGCCAAGGATACATTTTAAGAATATTTTTGTAATATAAGTTAAGCTGAAATATATCCTGAAAGTTTCTGCACAGACTCAGTGATTTATTTTATTTTCACAACCGCGGCAAATTTTTGATACTGGTTTCTGACAAAGCGAATATTTTAATTTTCTATGATTCTTCTTGGATGAAATGTTTTGTCTTATCTTCCTTTTAATTTTAGGCACTTTTGGCCAACATGGCATCAATGTTTGCTGTTTACCATGGTCCAAATGGATTGAAACACATCGCAAAGAGAGTGCACAATGGTACCTTAATTTTAGCTGAAGGTAAGACCTGTTGGTGAAAGAAAAGAAAATGGGTTTAAATTGGGGCATAGTTACAGCTCTTTGTCTAAAATGACTTTGTGTACTCAGGTCTGAAGCGTGCTGGGCATAAAATACAGCATGAATCATTCTTCGACACACTGAAGATCCACTGTGGCGTAGCTACCCAGGAGATAATTGACAGGGCTGCCCAACGGCAGATCAACCTCCGTGGATACGGTAACTGCATGGTGAGCTATATTGCCCTATGCTCTGTGTGTGACTTCATCTGAGTACTCAGGATTACTTAAGTATCATACAATCCTATACAAATTTACATTGATGTAGTGCCTTTCATGTCAGGAGGATGTTCCAAGGTATTGAACTGTCTAAGGTTTGCACCCAAGCTGGAAGGTGCATCGAGGTGGGGGGACAAGTGGGGTGGTGGTGAGGGTGGGGGGATATGGCCAAAAGCACGGCCGAAGAGGAAGGATCTTGAAGGAGATGATGAAGGGACTCTGGGATGGTGTTCCAGAGAATGAGAGCAGATATGCTGAAAGCCTGATGGTGGGTCGGGTGGGTTGGGGGATGTGAAGCAGGCTGGTGCCCGCTGAGCAGAGGGAATAATCCTTTTTTCTTTACCTCTTAGTAGTCTTACTTCCCATAATATTGATTTGTATTTATAATATAAGAGGAAACTTCACACGTACATGAGGGTGAAGGGAATAGAGGGGTGTAGGAGAGGGGAACATGAAGGGCAAAGGCTTATGTGAAGCATGGATGGACTAGGTCGCATGGCCTAGTTGGGCCAAATGCTTTGTGTAAATATTTCCATACTGTATCATTCTATGTAATTGTACTCAATCACGTCTGTACTGTATATTCTCTTTTAAAAATGTATGTTCTGACTTTTCTGAGGAGACACTGGTCATCTTTCTGTTATGTGTTTGTGATGTGATTTCCCTACAAAATGACAAAAAAGGAAGCATTGTTTTGCTTGGGGGAGAAGGCCACAAAAGTTTTAAGAATTATACAGGTCATTGTCGAAACAGATACAAAAAGTGATCACTTAATATCGTCAGGTATCGTGGATTCCCTGCACCAGCATCACCAAGAGAGTCTATTTCTGGCTCCCTTCCACAAGGAAATGTGTTAGAGAAGCCTGGGTGATTCGAAAGTCTTCACTGCCCACCCCACCCTCCATCCCCCTCCACCCCTAGCTTGCTGGGAGGAGCACTTGCCCTTTAGGAACATAGGAACAGGAGTAGGCCATTCAGCCCTTTGAGCCTGTTCCACCATTTAATTAGATCACGGCTGATCTGTACCTCAACTAATCATTTCAATTGCTCGCTTTCTCCCCATATCCCTTAATACCCTGACCTACCAAAAATCTATCAACCTCACTCTTGAAGATGTGGATGGATCTGGCATCCATGGCCTTTTTGGGGAGAGAATTCCAGATTGCTACCATCCTTTGAGTGAAAAAGTGCTTCCTGCATAATTTCTTCCCTTTGTATTCCAGGCTCCATGAGATAAAGGCCAACATTTCATTCACCTTTTTGATTACTTTTAGCACCTGGGAACTAGATTTTAGTGATTTGACTAGTTTTTAGTGATTTGACTCTATAAGGCACCTCTTCATTATCCTGGTACCTACCATCCACCTAGTGAGGGTTCAAACACACACTTGTTGGATGTCGAATGAACAACTAGTGACTATCCTCCTTGTGGGGGTGTGGTGGGGTCTCTTTGGAGCTGAACTGGTTCCAAGGTGACATGTTTGGCAACGGAATGTCATAATTGAGCCAACTCTCTGTGGTGGTGTCGGTCATCCAGTTCCTGAGCGAGCGGGTCCGCAGTATTCCTGGGCAGAGGCCATGACAGCACAGCCAGCCTGGCTCATTGGCAGGACTTGGAAGGGCAGACCAGTCACTGGGGCAGGGAGTCATTCCACTAAGCTCCTGTTAACCCTTCAAGCCAAAGCCCTCATGGGTAGGGTGGTCCTAGCTGGACACACGGTGGGAAAGCTTGCCAGACATGTTACAACTGAGATTGGTAACAATGTGCAAGACATTGATTTTTAGAAAGGAATGCAAGACAACTGGTAATTAATTCATTATACAATAGAGCAATTAGGTTCTTGTACACTTTCCATGACTTTTTATAAAGTCTAAGATAAAGATGCAATTTGTGAAGTATAACTGCACTCCACAACATGCTGATTCCCACCCCCCCACCCAATCAATTAGATTCTTTGCCCTAATTATGCCGATACATAATATCGGGCCTCATGTATGGGATTGGATTGTGACCTTATTTATGTTGATATTTCCATCCTTTGAACCACATATAGTTTCAAAATGGTACTTTAAACGAGAATTGATAAACCCTGGGTGTTATTGATGTGTCCGACTTTTAATGTTCTATTTGACAGCTGGGGGTGTCCTTGGATGAGACTGTGAATGAGAGAGACCTGGATGATCTGCTGTGGGTCTTCGGCTGCGAGTCATCTGCTGTATGTAGTTTTGCAATCAATATATGAGCTGTTTCTGTGATAGAGAGGTATTGTGAGTTTCTAAGTTAACAGTTTGGGGTTTCTTTGTGGGTATACATCATGAGGAACCTCTCCTCCATGTGGTTACAAAGATAACCACCTTTTTTTGGGTCTCACAACAAGATTAGTTTCCTGACCACATCCTCCTTGCTTTAGATCCTGGTAATGTTTCTCTCTCACTTGAGAGTGATGAGTTGCTTCATTGTTTATTATATATACAGTATAACCTTTATACTTTTTTATATTTTTATACTTTTTTATATTTTGTGTAAACTACTAGATATAATGTGTAACCATTTCAATCATTCAAATGTGTGAGTTGTTCTGGTGCTAAAAGCCTAGGTTTTGCAGTGTTTCAAACTTCACATGATTCATTCCAGTGATATATATATATGGGATGGAAGTATTTGGAATTTTGGAGAAAAAAATGAGGAAAATTCAGAGGAGTAACACCATAGTAATATCAATAAAATAAAGACAGTAAACATTGCTTCAGATGTTAGAGGCTAGATCTGAGAGGAGATTGAGCTATCAGACTGAGATAAACCTTGTATGGTACAGATGATCAGATGGTTGAATTGGGCCCTGCAACACAAAGTTCTTACCACAGTTTCATACAAAATGTCTTAGTAGCTTTCAAGCATCCGCAAACAGTTTCTATGACCGTCTAATTGTGAATGTGAGGCAAAATGTACTTAACAATAGATGTTACCTGATTTTTTTTAAAACTGTGTTTGGTGCATTGCTTTAATGTAATACTGTTATTGATTTTTATGTAAAAAGGAGTTGATAGCTGAAAGCATGGGAGATGAACCAAAAGGTATCTTTGGCACGCAGTTTAAGAGGACAAGCAAATTCCTTTCACATCCAGTATTCAACAGGTTGGTAAGACGACTCGAATTGAGATAGCGTCTCAAGTTTACTAAAATAAAAATGCGACATATACAGATTATTAACCAGGTACAACACAGTGGGTTTGACTTGTCAGAGTGTTTGGTACCATTACTGTTTCATGTTATATCGATGTTTGCAGCTCCCATCCTGTACAATATGCATTCATTACAAAATGAATTTCTATTGGACATTAATTGTACTACTTGTGTTTCTGGGACATTGACAAAAAAATTTAAAACCTTTTACACTTGACACATATCAAACATTAAAAGCACTGGGGGTTGACTTTGATCTGCCTTTGCCCACACATCTTCTCCTGAACTTTCCCCAATACTTCAACAGCTTGTTCACATTCCCACTGAAAAAAAACACAATCAATTTAAATTGCCATTTTGTTTAGTTAGCGGAGCTCAGACTCTCTTAGACATTTCCGCCATTTCTAGTGACCCATCGACATTAATCTGATACATTTTCCCCTCATTACTAATAGAACCAAATGAATGAATAATAATGGAGGTCTGACCTTAAGAGTTTTATAATAGGAAAACTAGACCCCCTTGGACAAATGCCACCTTTGTCACTTGCACAATGTTGTTGTTACAGCACATATGGGATACAGGAATGTATCATTTGAAGGTTAAAAAAAACTATTTGAATGTTATTTGCTATAATCTGAAATTTGCTACCTGCTTTATTGTTTATTTTTTATTGTTTTTTGTACAAAATTGCATGCTCCAGGCACTTCATTTGTTAACTTATATATTGCAGTTATCACTCAGAGACAAATATTGTCCGGTACATGAAGAAATTAGAAAATAAAGATATTTCTCTAGTTCACAGCATGATTCCTCTGGTGGGTGACTGTTAATTTTTATAATTTCCACTTTAAATATGATTAAACATTGCACATTTGAAAAATTAACTCTAATCTGTTTTCTCAAATTGAACCAGGGATCCTGTACGATGAAGCTAAACAGCTCCTCTGAGCTTACTGTAAGTATTCCATCTTCGCACTGTATCTTCCCCATTCCAAAGTCGGAAGATAAAATGAAACATTTTTCTTACAGTCAAGTTGAGTTATCTCGTGAATGGACAGAATTGCTTGCCGGTTGCCTGGCCACTATCCTGAATTCTTTTATCATAGGAATGAATCATTCAAGATTGCCCTGTTGGTAGCCTGGTTGTTATAGCATTAGCTTCCTAAGAAGGGGTCAAGGTTGGAGTTCCAGGGCTTTTTGCCACTTTGTTAGTAGTAATCCTTCATTGTAGTGGATCACCCGACCTTGAAGGGAAAGGACAAATAAAGCAGACCATTGTGACTGACAGAGAATGTGTGCAAGTTTTGAAGCCCTGAGTGTTAGTGTTTTCATTCAGACATGGTACATTTTAACTCTTGTAGCTATAAGTCAACTTGCAGAGACTAAATGAAAATCCCAAATGTGTTGACAAACTGATAATCACAGACCAACAGTTCTCAAGACATGAGTTTACTGAAGCCAGATGTTGTGCTTCAGCCATTTTACATTGTACTAAAACAGTCGGCCACTCCAAATCAGAAATCCTTTTCATTTCTCATCCACTATAGCTGCTTTTCACTATGAGCCTGATACATGTAGATCACAAGGCGTAGGCTTGTCTGTAACGTCCTCCATGGTTGAATAGCTGGCACTTATTTCTAGACTCACATATGAAGAAGAGCCATTAGTGCAAGGTACCAGAAGACAGCTGGCACCTGTAGAATCTTAACAAGAGTTATGCCTTCAGTGGGAAGGGCAGGTGGTGGGAATGAGGAAGATAAACTACACAGAATGAGAAAGATCACGGTAATGTTTGCCAGCCAGCCCAGCCAGGTAGTAATACCTAGCCATTAATGATGCTGCTGTAGTGCTGATATGTGGAGAAGAGTGTTTTCTTATGATTTGATACGAAATTTCATCCTTCCATTCTACATTTCCCTCTTCCCTACTATATTGGGAAAAGACAGGTAAATGGAACTGAAAGGATGGCTCTTAAAAGAGCAGGCACAGACACAATAAACTAAATGGCCTTCTATGCTGTACATTTCAGTGGTTTCCCCCTCCAAATTGCATGATGGGTTTAACCTAAAGCACGTGGGACAAAAGATTAATTTGAAAGAATGCAAAAAAAATTAAAGTAGAACTATTAGTTAGAATCTATTTGCATTGAAAGGAATAGAAAGTCATTTTCGTATGATACTGTGTGTAAACTAATCACCTGTATTCTGAAAATTTGAAATGTTGATTTTTATTGTAAATTATTTACTGTAAATGTTTTATTTGTTTCCTTGTTTTCCCTGCAGCCTATCACTTGGCCTGAATTTGGAAATATCCATCCCTTTGTGCCTCTGGATCAAGCACAAGGCTACCAGCAGTTATTTCATGAACTGGAACGGGACCTGTGCGAAATAACAGGCTATGATAAAATCTCCTTCCAACCTAACAGGTAAGCCTTCAGCTTTTTTAATATTCTGCCTTGTTAAATCTTGTATGTATATTACAGTAGCATAGGTGTTAGCCGTCAATATCTCCATATAAACACATATTATCAACTATATTTGGTCTCCTTTCTCCTCCTAACTCAGTATTCTCGAACATACATTAGAATACATTAGAATATAGAGAACAGAAACAGGCCATTCGGCCCAACTGGTCTATGCCGGTGTTTATGCTCCACATGAGCCTCCTCCTGCCCTTCTTCCACTAAGCCTTCAAGCATAACCTTCTGTTCCTTTGTCCCTCATGTACTTATCTAGCTTCCCCTTAAACACATCTAGTCATTTTGCCTCAACAACTCCTTGTGGTAGCATGTTCCACATTCTCACAATTCTCTGTGTAAAGAAATGTCTTCTAACTTCCCTATTTGATCTATTTGTGACTATTTTATATTGATGGCCCTGGCTTTGGTCTCCCCCACAAATGGAAACATCTTTCCTATGTCTACCCTATCAAAACCTTTCATCATTTTAAAGACCTCTATCAGGTCACCCCTTACCCTCCTCTTTTCAAGAGAAGAGTCCAAGCATGTTCAGCCTTTCCTGGTGGTTATAACCTCTCAGTTCTGGGATCATCCTTGTGAATCTCCTTTGCACCCTCTCCAGTGGCTCTACACCCCTTCTATAATGTGGGGACCAGAACTGCACACAGTATTCTAAGTGTGGTCTAACCGAGGTTCTATAAATGTTTATCATAACTTCCCTGCTTTTCATTTCTATTCCTTTAGAAATGAACCCCAATGCCTGGTTTGCTTTTTTATGGCCTTATTAACCTGCGTTGCTACATTTAGTGAATTGTGTATGTGTACCCCTAGATCCCTTTGCTCCTCTACCCCAATTAGGTTTTTAGTTTCCAGGATGTATGTGATCCTAATTGTTAAATGCTATATAAGTCCAATTTGTTGTTAATTGTAGATGAATATTTAGAATAATCTTATCTTTGATTGACAATGAATGTAGATCTCTTTCATCTGGATGTTACCAAGTCTGGAGAGTGAGCGGGGATTAGATTAATTTATATGGAGAAAAGAACCAGGGTGACTTGATGGGCCCAATAAAATATAATATGCTACATCTTTCATGTCACAGGATATTCCAAAGCACCTTTCACATTGCTAGATTGGCACCAATCTGAGGATGGGAACTGAAGGGGGAGGGGAAAGGTGACCAAAAGGTGGTAAAAGAAGTATGTTTTGAGACATGCCTTGAAAAAAGGGAAGGAGCGAATGAATCAGAAGACAGAGTTCCAGAGAGCTTGGACTAAATAGCTGAATCTTGTAAGGGCAGATAGGGAACAGAAAAGAATCATGCAACAATACAGCTCAGAATTATACCAAATGCCTAGTAAATGGTGAGCCAGATAGAGCAGGTGACACAAAGCAAGTTGGTGTTTGCTGAGCAAATGGTCTGATTCTGAGCTGTAATGTTGCATAATTCTATTTTGCTGTTTTAGACCTCGTGAGAACAACACAACTCTCCTTCCTGCAATTGCTGGAAGGAGGTGCTCTGTGTTAGTCTGTGCTGCAACTTTGTACTGTTTGTGTTTTTCAAATTGTTCTGATCTATACAACAATCCATATTTGGAACTGTGCAGTTCACAAGTGATCAACATTTCTGAGCTTTCATTGGCCCCAATTTAACATGCTGATGTAGCACACTAGATAAGACGAGGCATGGAATTAAGATAAACAGAGCTCGATAACAAAATGATCCGTTGCAAATCTACCTGAATGGATTTGCACTTTGGAATTCATTTTATTTTTGATCAGCGATTACTGAAAGAAGATCTACGGTTCAAGCTATTTTCACTTACTACATCATTTTCTTATCAATGATTTTTCTGACCTTTAGTTAACTTTGTCTTATGTATTTAACTGAATTGTTCATTCTCTTGAACGATGCATACAGAACGTGTTATTCCAGAAAGTGGTTGCTTTAATGGGTTAAAAGACAGTTCAGACTTTTGCTCAAAGTATCTTAATTTTTTATTACAGGTCATAAAACGCAATATAGGTAGCATGACTATAAATATAACAGCGAGTAGTAAATCTAATAGGGAGTTTAGAAGGAGCTTCTACACAGAGACGATGGTGAGACAATAGAACTCGCTGCCATAAACTGTGATTGAAGCAAAAAGCATGAATGTATTGAAGAGGAAATATAAATCAGGGAGAAAGGAATAGAGGTACAGAGGAGGGGAATAGGGGATGGGGGCTTATGTGGAGTCCAGGCACCAGCACAAACTAGTGGAAATCTCAAGTTTGGTTTGGATACTCTTAAACATGGTGATGGGTTCCTGCATGTGTCAGATACTCGGCTGACCAAAATATATCAGGTGAGAACCATGCAAGTAAGTGGAGTTAAAAATCCTGCAGAAGCCTCCAAATTGCTGAAAAAACATTGCTTCCTGTTTACCTAATTTCAGAGAGTATTAAGTGCAGATTGGAATATCCAAAACTGTTCTCACGGAAAAGGGATTGACCAAATCCTATTGCATAGTTTGCCCACAATACTCACATTTACTGCACTTTACAGCATATCCTGTGAAACACTTTGGCATTTTCCTTCTGATGTCAAAAGCGCTATACCAAAAGTAATAATTATTAAAGTATTTTTGTATTTACATTTCGTATAGCACCTTTCACATAAGCAGTAAAAGAAAGGGAAAATAGAGGGAATAATTATACATCATTGAGATGAGTCTAGATCCATTTAAGAATTGCAAGATATGCAAGATGGTTATTAAGTAGGGTGCCTCAGCAGTCTGTACTGGGATCCCTCCTATTTTGCTCATATTAATGTCCTGGATTTGTAAACCCAATGTAATACAGTTACATTTGCAGATGATACAAAGTTAGGTCAACTGTGGATCAGAGGAGGCATCAAAGGTCCTACAAAGAGAGCTTGATAGGATATGTACATGGGCTGATTACTGGCAAATTAAGTTTAATACTGATAAATGCAAGGTGCTACATATAGGATCCAAGAATAGGAAATACAAGTACTCCGTAGTTGAGATAAAACTTGCCAAGGGGAAGTTGAAAGAGAATCTAGGGATGTTAGTTGACTCATCGCTCACTATGTCAAAATAGTGTGAGACAGCAATAAACAAGGCAAACAAGGCTGTGTTGCTAAATCAGTTGAGTATGAGTTTAGATCCCCATACGTTATACTCAGGCTGTACAGTTCTCTGGTTAGACCGCACCTTGAATATCACATATAGTTCTGATCACCGTGACATTAAAGAGGCTGCCCAGGCACTAGAGATAGTGTAGAGGAGAGAAACAAGGATGATCCTCAAGTGTTAGAGGAATGAACTATGAGCAACACTTAGTCAAGCTAGAGAGGGCACTTCAGTCTTGAGAAGTCTCAGAAGGGACCTCATGCAGATGTATAAAATTGTAAATGAGATTGAAAATGTAAACCCAGATCAGGATGTATTAAGACAGTACAATAAGAGGATGTAAGTTTAGAGTTGTCAATGACAATTTTAGGTAGATACCAGGACGTTTTTCTTTACTCAGAGGGTAATTAACGATTGGAACAGGTTTGCTGTGAAAAGGGGTAAAGGCTAGGACATGATGTTTAAAAAGTAGCTTGATACTGTGATGGGGGAATGGTAAGATGGGTGTTCTGGAGGGATGAGATTAAATGGGTCAAAGGACCTTCTTCATCCAGCCCAAACTTGTAATATTGTGAATTCTCTTTGGAATTGCAACAAACACGCGTTAAACATTGGACAAATAACTAAATGTTTGTGTTCACTAAATGCCGCACAAGACCTTAAAAATCCAGGCAGAGTCCAACGCGTAGTTCCTAAAAGATAATAGGATCAGGGTGGGGCTAGAGATACCTAGAGAAACCAGCCAATGGAATTGAAGAAATCAAGGTCTTTGCAAGGACAGCAAGGTATAAATGTTGGTTAAGACTGAACTTTGGTGCCTAATGGTTCCCCTAATCCTGTTCAATCATTTCACCACTCAAGATAGAGCATCAACAATATTTTTTTGGCCACAACTGCAGAAGGCTGCAACCAGTATTTGTCAGCGAGTCATCTTCTACATTTAAAAAACTAAACACATTGCTGGTCAGATATCCGCTAGGTATACCATGAACCTTTTTCCAAATTAATGGATTATGAATTCCTGTTTGAGCTGGATAACTCCTGATTGCTTCAATATCTCCTTATCGTGCTCTCAGTATCTATTTGTGCAGCTTATTATCAGAACTGTGACTTTTGCAACAGGTTGGATGACAAGAATCAGCTGAGAGAACTTTACTATTGCAAGGTGCCTTAATGTTGAAGCTCGCAGTTCTTTCGTCTGATTCGAAATGGGGCAAATCTTTGATTAACTAAAAACACACAGCACTCCTATGGCTTCCGGTTTCATCATGAGGGCCTCATGAGCACTAGGTCGAAAGTCTTGTGAAAGTCGATGAACACAACGTTTCCCCTTAGACTTGTGACATTCTGTGATTTCATACAGAGCCACAGCCTGTCCGACACATTCCTCACGAGAACAGTAGCCAGTCTGCTCCTTCTTGATCACACCGCGAGCCTCCAATGCGTGTGGCATTGGCGTGTGGCCCCCCAATTATCCTTCCTCCCCCACATCCGGTCTCTTACCAGCACCGCCTTTTTCCACCTCTGTCGCATCGCCCGTCTCCGCCAATACCTCTCCCCAAAAGCCGCTGAAACTCTGGTCCATGCTTTTGTCACCCCTCGGCTGGACTACTCTAACGCCCTCCTCGCCGGTCTCCCATCCATAAAATCCAAATCATTCAAAACTCTGCCGCCCGCATTCTCACCCACACGAAACTCCGCTCCCCGATCACCCCAGTCCTTGCCAGACTGCACTGGCTGCCTGTCCCAGAGAGGATCGATTTCAAGATCCTCACCCTCATATTCAAGTCTTTTGCACCCCCCTACCTCTCTGACCTCTCTCCTCAAAACACTACCCGTTGCCTTCGTTCCTCCAGGTCTGGCCTCCTCCTTGTCCCCCGAGTCCTCCGCTTCACCCTCGGTGGCCGTGCCTTCAGCCACTATGCCCCGAGGCTCTGGAACTGCCTTCCTCACTCCCTTCGTCTCGCTCCCTCCCTTCCCATTTTCAGGTCTCTGCTGAAGACCTTTCTTTTCGACCGCGCCTTTGGTCACCTTCCTCCCCCTTCCCTGACTCTTCCCCGGGATCTGAAACTGTAAAGTGCTCTGAGATGCCGTCTGGCTTGGAGGGCGCTGTATAAATCCATGCTGCTGTTGGTGTTGTGTGATACACATGCAGTGACTCCCCAAAGTACCACTTTAAGAGTCACTGAAATCAGTGAGATCCCACTGTAATTATCAGTTTCACTAGAGCCACCCTTCTTGTGGATGGAATGTCACAATGCTGGGAAAATAGAGGGAGAGAGCAAATCTATACAATTGTGCTCCCGCTATTCCGGAAGCTTACCTGATCTTTTGAAGTTTGGTTAAGACCTAATCAAAAACATAAACATAGTCCAGTTATGAGCAAAAAAAACTGATAAAGCCTGATGCCTCCAATATAAATAAGCAATAGATCATAACATAACATGACCAAGCACCAATACTCCACACAATCTCTGTCATCGCTGGTGGAGTGGGTAGTTATTCAGCTGGCTCCGGTCTCCTGCAACATCTTTCGTCCAATCCGTTCCACCATCATCTGCCATGCTTTCAGCCTCCACATCCTGAAACTCTCTCCCTCAAGCCCACCACCTTGCCCTCTCCTTGTCAGTCTTCAAATCACACCTGAAGACCTTCCTCTCTTCAATTTTCTCTTCAATCGTGCCTTCAGCTCTCCTCTCGGCTCTCTACCCCCTCCTCGCTCCCTCCCTTCCCTCCCCTCACCCTGACCATTTTCCCCCTGCTCGAGTCCCAACTCAAACTGTCCAGCGCCTTGGGACGTCCTCCCGACGTGAAAGGCATTCTATAAATGCAATCTTGTTGTTGTTTTTGTTCCTCTCCGTGCCTACGGCCACCAGCCCTCTGTCCCTGGCTTGGTGTCGTGTGCCGCCACTGTTAAGTCAGATGCTATCTGGCATGAAGGGCGTTAACTGCAGTACTGGAAGAGCACTACAGTGTCAGAAGTGCTGTCCTTTGAATGAGACTTTAAACCTAAGTCCAGTCTGCCTGTTCCAGTTGGTAATAAAGGTTTCATAACAATATTCAAATGAAATGTTCACCTGGCCAAAATTTGTGGAATAAAATACGGCAATTTGTGACTTTGCTGTGCACAATTTGGCTGACAGAGTCAGCACACTACAGTATAGCAATTTAGTGTTTTAAAATGCTTAAATGTTTTAGGCACTGTATCATAACAAAGGATTATTATTTTTATTGATAATGTCAATAATGAGATTTCCCCTATTATAACTGCATTGTTGAAAGTGCCTTGTGTGATACCGTTTGGGGTAAAACACCTGACGTCTTCTAGCTCTGTATGGCTCAATTTCACACAACTCTGAAGCTTTTCTAATTGGTTATTTTCAGAGTATACTAGTGTGTATTTAAGAAGAATCTTGGTATGTTAACCTGTTCGTCCACTACTGCATTGTCATATGTAGTGCGGTGAGTACATACCTTCAACAACAACAACAAGTGGAGTCCTGTAGCTCAGTGGTTAGAGCACTCGCTTTGCAAGTGAGAGACCTGAGTTCAATTCCAGGCAGAGGGCGAAACCTTGGGCAAGTTTCCTTACTCCACACGCCTAATAATAATCCCTCCAAAACTAAAAATAATAATTAAATTGGTCATTTTCAATCTACGACTGTTTGTGGGACATTGCTGTGCGCAATTGGATGCCGCGTTCGCCCACATATATACAGTCAATTCACTTTACAGTGTGTTCTGTGAAGCGCTTTGGGACGTCCTCCCGACGTGAAAAGCGCTATATCAAATGCAAGGATTATTATTATTATTATTATAACAAGATTGCATTTATAGAGCACCTTTCACGTCGGGAGGACAGTTGGGTCGGGACCCGAGCAGGGGGGAAATGGTCAGGGTGAGGGGAGGGAAGGGAGGGTGCGAGGAGGGGGTAGAGAGTCGAGAGGGGAGCTGAAGGCACGGTTCAGTTCATAAACAATGCAGGCAAGTTACTTCCAAACTCAGATGAGCATTGGGAAAGGTGCTAAGTATAGCCTAGGCTCTTCTGCACAAGAAGATAGAAAACTGTAACAACAATAGCTGACCTTTATAAAGTGCTTGGGTAGTGTCTCAGAATGCTGAAAAAGACCTAATTGGAAGAATTAATCCTGGCACTGCAAATACTTGACTGTTCAGTGCCTTGGGACATCCTCATGACATGAAAGGAGCTATGTAACTTGTTCTTGTTGTTCCTTGGTTTAAAAAGCAGAATGTCTTTGGTTGAGATGTTGTCTTGTTTTGGAATGAGTGAAATTAAGTGCCCTGGAATAGAGGATGAATATTTTTAACAGTGTCTGTCACCTTTGGTCTGTTTGGTAACGACTTTCCTTTCTATTTTTATTCATACAGTGGTGCGCAGGGTGAATATGCTGGATTGGCTGCAATTAAGGCTTACTTAACTGCAAAAGGAGAACATCACAGAACTGTAAGTAATTAAGATGAGAATTTTGTCAGGAGTAAAAAGTGATCTCTGATTAGATGTGTCGGTACTGAGAGTACGTACAGGGCAATTCATTTATTTTTATATTTCCGAGAAATAATGTGAAGCACCAGGTCTTGAACGAGTAAATACTGTTTGCACAAACAGTAGCATACGGGAGTCTATTCCACTTGTTCTGGAGAACGCGTTGCCATTCTGTTTATTCTACACAGGATCTTGTCAATTTCAACAAGGTCTCCCCAAAGTCTCCTCTGCTCCAGAGAAAACAGGTCCAATTCCTCAAGCCTTTTCATTCTGGACGCACAATGAAGGAATGGAAGATAAGCTTGGTGACCTTTTCTTTACTTTCTCCAGTGCCTCTACATCACACCAGGAACATCGACCATTATTTGTCTTAGGCAAACTTCAAAAGGGCTAATGTGGAGAGCAAGTTGGAGCCCTGCCACTTGACCTTATGAAACACGAATTAGCAGAAGGACCAAAGAAATCATCCTTGTTTTGACTGCATGCATATCATCCATTCTGAAAACTACACACCTCCTTTCTTCTAAGCTCATCTTTCCCATCTGAAATGAACGTTTCGTCAGAAATCTGAGTGGCACAGTACATAAATAAAGACGAAAGATTGCCTTGTATTAGGTTATCTTAATTCTTCAAATGAAGATACCCTCAGTAAACTAAAAACCTGCCCAGTCTGACCATTTGCAAGCAGCATATGTTATTTTATTCAATATATGGTTGTATTACAACAGTGTGCACTTGTACATCACCTTTCAGATGGGATAATGTTTCAAAGCATTTTATTTCTATCATCCTTACATTATGCACGCTTCCTCTTGTCTGGGAAAAGATTAGCAATCCAATAGCGTCTAGAATGGAAAATGCATTTAATGTTTTTGTTCGGACTGGTGATGCTTTTTTGTATGTAACTTGCACCATGTTTATCCTCAGCCCATTTTAAACATATATTGCCACCTGGTGGTACTAAATGTTGAAGGGCACTATTTGCTTTATCACTTTGGATAAACAAGTGCGAATGTCACATGCACCCGATCTTCTGGAAGCATTTCTGCATCTTTAAATAGTTGCAGGGAACTGGCCAGGACATTTAAATAATGGTCATATGCAAGAGGGCATGGCTGAAACTTAATCTGAAGTCAACTGTTTACCACAGTCATTCTGCTGAACTCATGACTTAGCAATAAAAGGAAACGCATTATTTTCCATTCCTTCATTGTGCCTCTAGAGCTCACACATATAAACATACGCATAAACCATGTAATAAGACAGCTTTTAATATTAAATGTATGGTCCTAACTGATAATAATACTTGCATTTGCTACAGTGCCTTATCACGTCTTTGAGATGTCTCAAAGCACTTTCACAGAATATACTGTAAAGTGAATTGATTGTGTATTTTGTAGGTGAAACGCGGAGGCCAATTGCGCACAGCAGTGTCCCACAAACCGTTGTGGATTGAAGTGATCAATTTATTATTATTATTTCGAAGGAATTATTACCCCTGGAAAAGTGAATCGCCAATCGACTAACAACCAGGTTCCTACTTACTGCTAGGTAAACAGAGGTGTGTGAAGCAAGAAACTTGCCCAACTTTTCACCCTGCTGGGAATCAAACCCAGTTCACCCCTTACTCCACATGCCTAATAATAATGCCTCAAGAAAGAAACGTAATAAATTGGTCACTTCAATCCACGACTGTTTGTGGGACACTGCTGTGTACAATTTGGCTGCCACATTTCGGCACAAATATACAGTCAATTCACTTTACAGTATATTCCGTGAAGTGCTTTGAGACGTCTAGAAGACGTGAAAAGTACTATATCAAATGCAAGGATTATTATTATTATTGTAGACATAAACACATCCGCACAACATGCATGCTCATTCTTTATATTTGCCCATGGCTGTAGGTCACCTAATCAAACTGAATTTCTTCACATCACTGTGTGAATCCTACACTTGTTCAGCTGAATACTTTAAGCGAAAACTCCCAGCTGTTGCAAGGCAGTTAATCAAATGTGCCGATGATAATTTGTGTGACTATTTGACTTACATGAGGCTCTTTAGGTTCTCTACCTCTGCAGTGGGAACCTGTACAAATGTTACATTTATACAGTGTCCAACCTTTCAATTTAGCTGGCATTCATCCCACGTTATTTGTATAAATACAGGCAATGTGACCTAAAAGGATCTCTGGAGTTTTGAGGGCCATTGCTGTATTATTGAAAATCTGATGTACATTAATAACATCAAACAGCTAATAAAGGTGCTTGGTCTTGCATTTGCAGTGCTCTCCTGAGTCCTGGGCAGAGTGATTGGGAGTAGGAAGTCTAAACTGTTCATCCTACTCTGAGTTGCTGTCCTAGCCGAGGCGATGTTGCAACACACTCTGTCCATCTATAATAATATAACAAATATACTTCTATTTAATGTTGTGCCTTATTAAGTCGTTGACACATCTCAAAGCACTTTGCAGAATATATTGTAAAGTGGAAACAAAAACAGAAGTCGCTGGGAACAGGTCAGGCAACATCTATGGAGAAAAGGAAAGTGAGTCAACGTTTCGGGCCCATGACCCTTCGTCAGAACTGTTTGTCAGAACAGTCAATATATATTGTAAAGTGGATTGACTATATATTTTGTGGCCAAAACAAGGCAGCCAATTGTACACAGCAGAGTCCTACAAACAGTCGTGGATTGAGTGGGTGGATTATTACCCCCAGGCAATTGACTAACAACCGGATTTCTACTTACTGCTAAGTAATCGGGCATTTGGAGCAAGGAATCTTGCCAACAGTTTCACCCTGCCTGGGAATCGGATTCTTTGTTTGCGAGGCGGCATGCTAGTCACTATGGTACAGGACTCCAGATGCAGTTGATATTGCTCTGATTCCCTGAGGCCTGTGTTGCATACTTAGGACTGGTTCAACACAGCGAATATTGACACTTGACCTGTAAATGCCTCAAGCATACAAACGAGCTTGTGATCATGCTTATAAGGCTGCCATGCAGATCAGAGAAAGATATCATAAATGATCAGTAATAAGGGGATCTTCTGGAGGTTTAGATTAAATCTATGTATAGTGGAAAGAAGACCTTCCTCTTAGACCATGCTTACGGTCCAACACTGTTAAGTGCTTCGAGACCTTGCCCTGGGTGAAGAGAGCTACATAAATGCAAGTTGTTGTTGTTATTGTTGTTTGATAAAGTGACGAGTATCTGATGCTGATCCTTCTGACTTTTTGCTCCCTTTCCCATCCCTGTCTCTCATAGGTCTGCCTTATTCCAAAGTCTGCTCATGGCACCAACCCAGCCAGTGCACAGATGGCAGGAATGAAAATCCAGCCCGTTGAAGTAGACAGGAATGGAAGCATAGATGTTGCGCATTTGAAAGCGATGGTACGTAAATTATTCTATCGCAAAAAATAGCTCAAAAGTGGCTCTTTGATCTCATAGTTTCCACAAAATCCGCCCTACTTCCTTTCCATTACAGAATGAAGTATTTCCTTAGATGAGTCTAATGTCTTTGTATTTCCTTAGATGAGTCTAATGTCTTTGTATTTCCTTAGATGAGTCCAGTGTCATGTGGAGTCCTGTAGCTCAGAGGTTAGAGCACTCACTTTGCAAGCGAGAGACCTGGGTTCAATTCCCAGCAGGATGAAACCTTGAGTAAGTTTTCTTACTCCGCACGCCTGATAATAATCCCTCAAAAAAAAACAATAATAAATTGTCATTTCAATCCATGACTGTTTGTGGGACACTGCTGTGCGCAATTGGCTGTGCATTTCGCCCACAAATATACAGTTCACTTTACAGTCTATTCTGTGAAGTGCTTTAAGACGTCTAGAAGATGCGAAAAGCACTATATCAAATGCAAGGATTATTATTATTATTAGCCTCCATTATCTGTTACAGCCAGCTACCTTCAGGTAAAGAATTATTTCCTGGTGTCTGTTCAAAACCTGTCCTCCATAGTCCTGTGACCTCTCTGGAGCACTGTACAGCTTGTGCATAACCTCTGAGGATCATAACTGATTGGGCAAAATAGCCTAGTATCCACTTTGCCTTATTTGTCACTCTCTCACACTGTTCAGACATGATGAGCAAATTAGCAATGAGTCAGTGAACCTCTATCTGCTTAAATCTTGTCCAACTTCCTCCTTGAAAAGTTCTATCCCATCTATTATTGTGCTGTGGAAGATAATGACTCCTTCTAAAAATGCTCCGTGGGCCCTAACAAACGATTTGAGATAATCTATTAAATCTATTTTTTTAAGTTCCACTATTTAATGCAACAACTTAATGGAGGATGACCCTCATAAAATGCAGCATGTTGGGTCAATAAAATTCGGCATTATATCAAAATGTTCCCGTTTCCCAGACCCTCTGATTGTCGCTCTTGACTTCCAGGATGGATCTTGCACATCCATCCGATTAAACATGCTGTCACTGGGGTCTCCTGAGCGGAAGCCAGGAGCTGGTCCACAGGAAAGGTAGAGTTAAAGGATGAATCGCCCTGGTCAGTCTTACGCACCTCCTTATGTCCAAAGTAGCCAGTGCGATGCTGAGGGTGAACTCTGACGTTGTTAGAGGTACCAATCTTTGGATGAGATGCTAAACCAGGATCCCATCTGCCTGTACAGGGGGACATTAAAGATCCTATGGCATTATTTGAAAAGGGAAAGGAGTTTCTCCTAATGTCCTGGCCAACACGCAAGATACTTTGTAGCTGTCAGGAGAGAGCTTAACATCACAGAAATGACAACCGTGCCATTATTTCTTGTTAAAACAAAGTGATTATGAGCTTATCTTTCAAATTCTTTTATCTGCAATCAGTGAGTGGGTTGGTAACATGTAAAATTATTGGCAGAAGAACCAGATTATCCAGAACTCTGCAGCTTATGTTCTCTCATGTGCCAGGCTCCATGACACTATCATCTCCACCCTCACCCGGCTCCACTGGCTCCCCATCCCTCAGAAGATAGAATTAAAATTCCTTTTCCTCACCTTCAAGGCCCTCCATGGCTTTGCCCTTTCCTACATCTCCAACCCCTTATCAATCCATCCACATCCCCCGCTCAGCCCACCTCACCATCAGTGGTCAGGCCTTCACCCTCTCTGCCCTCATCCTCTGGAAGTTCATCCCACATTCCCTTCAGCTCGCTCCCTCCCTTGCCTCCTTTAAGGAATGCCTCAAGATCCTCCTCTTTGACCATGCCTTTGGCCACCCTCCTACCCTCTCAGCTCTCCACCCTCCTAGATCCCAACTCCACCCCACCCCGGGGTGCTAATTCCTGACTGTCCAGAACCTTGGGACGTCTTCCCGACATGAAAGGCACTTTACAAATGTAATTTTGTATTGTATAAGATGCTATAACTCCACATATCTGTGTGCTGCAGAACGGATTGTGCCAAATGGATTTGTTCCTATTCACATTTAGCTTTGCCAATGCTGTGGTAACTTTACCTCCAAAAACCATGCCTAGGATCATAATTATGAGTGGTGTGTATCAATACAACATTCTGGAAGTATACAAACGTCATTTTTTATATGTAGCAGTGGAAAGGGATATACAGTAAAACTACGGCGAATAGGAGTCAAGCATATGCTCAAGTCTAGCTAACTTGGTGGGTCGGCCTATCTTGCTGGGTTTCCCAGTGTGGTTTGGGGCTTATTCATTGAGTTCAAACCAAAAAGCAAGGCTGTCTGACTGCTTTGAGTTACTCCCTCCTACCTTCCTGTAATATCAGTGCATTGCTGTACCAGAGGCTGCACTGTCTGTCTGTTCAGGTGGACCTTAAAGATGTTGTGGCACTATTTGAAAAGAGAAGAAAGTTTCTCCCAGTGTCCTGATCAACAATCCCCCACATAAATTGGTCTTTCATTGATGGCTGTTTGCTGGACAACACTGGTGCAAATTATATAGCGCATTTGCGTACAAAATACAGAGGCACTGCATTTTTGAGTAAATTCTGTGAAGCACTTTGAGATGTCCTCTTGACATGATGACATGATAAGGCACTACTTCACTTGCAAGGATTATTATTATAACTCAGCTAATGCATGGGTTTGAGCAGCTGAGTTTTGGGACAGATTTTGCTGATACGGGTGTGAGGGCGGTGGGTGGGTGGGAGGGTATGTGAGATAAGGAGAGATTGAAAATGAGATAGGGCAAAAGAACCATAATGCTCTAGGAAAAGAAGGCCATTCAGCCCAGTTTATGAGCAGGGCAGATTTTTTAATCCAATTTCCCTCTCCTTAATGGCTTACTTCCCAAGTAAACATCCATTTCCATTTTAAACATCCCAATTCTATAGCCTTTTAGAGCACTCAATCCTCTGTAGTGAAGAACACTCTTTTCTGAACAGGGAAGGATCTGATGTGATGGGGGAGGGGGTGGGGGAGGAGGAGACAATCCAAGGTCATGTATATCTAACATTTATTCACCAAGTTCCTGAATACAGGTCTACCTCCTACCTCCTTTGTGGTTTCGCTTAATGTTTCATACTGGTTCGGCATAAATGTTTGGTTCAATATTTACTTATTTTAGGAGCGTAATTTCATTGTACAGGTCTTGGCAAGAGTCAAATTGTACTGTATGTACAAGTAACTTGTATTTTCACTCTGCAAATGGCTGGGAGGATGGAAAAAACAGACTAACTAGTTGTTCAACTTTTCTATCACTGTAGACCGACAAGCACAAAGACAATCTGGCTGCCATAATGATCACTTATCCTTCCACGTATGGAGTATTTGAGGAGAACATCAGCGACGTGTGTGAGTTGATCCACAAGCATGGGGGACAAGTCTACCTCGATGGAGCAAACATGAATGCACAGGTAAGGGTGCTATTCACTTGTATTTGTAATAGTGGATACAAGTGCACATCTGGTGACTGGGGTAACATACTTCGCCTGTGGAAATTGTGACAAAAAATTCAACATTTACCAGCACGGAAAGGTTGGGCCAGATAACATTGATCACTCACTTCATGTCTATTCGTGGGACATTGCTGTGTGTAAATAGGTTGTCACATCTAACTATTTCAATGTAAAATCGCGTGAAGCGCTTGATGATGTGATAAGGCGCTATATCACAATGCAAAAACTATTATTTATTATTCTATGTAATTGCACTATTTACCATTTTTGTTTTAGCAGTTCATTTCTTACAACATCTGAAAAAGTGGTTTGGCTATGTTCACATGTGAAACCTTGAATCTGTCTTTTCTTTGGGGTGCTGCATGGGCTGTTGTGGCATTTTGTGCATTTTCTATAATTATAGTAATAATAATCCTTGTACTTGATATCACACCTTATCACATCGTCGAGATCGCTGAAAGCACTTCACAGAATATACTCTAAAGGGGTGTGACTGCATATTTTGTGGGAGAACACGGCAGCTAACTTATGCACAGCAGTGACACACACACAACAAATTACATTTATATTGTACTGTTCACGTGGGGAGGACGTCCCAAGGCGCTGAGAAGTGTTGTGAACAACGGTAAAGGGAGTGGCCAACTTTATTTGGGGGATTGTTGGCCAGGACAATTTTATGTCTTCAGATTCACAGTATTTGCAATTATTGTTTCCTCTCAAACTGTGGCCTGCCTGAGATTCCAAACCTGATCATTTGTTGAGGAGAAAGCAAACGGGGGAAGGGGATACTTCCAATAACTGAGAGTGCATCAATCCGACTCACTGATGGGAACTTTGTTCTGACAGGATGTTTCCTGAGCGAAATTCCTGTGGATCACTTTGAATTTTAACAGATTTGCTAACCAAATTCCAAGAATCAAGTTAAACCCTGGTGTGTCTTCCCCTCCCTTCCTGTGTATTAATGGTGCAATGTTTGAGTGTCCTCTCTGCCTTTCCTCAATCTTATAGGTGGGCCTTTGCCGTCCTGGTGATTACGGATCTGATGTTTCTCACCTTAACCTGCACAAAACCTTCTGCATTCCCCACGGAGGAGGTGGACCTGGAATGGGACCCATTGGAGTGTAGGTTTAAAATAACCTCATCTTCTTCATATGCTCGGGTGGGAGTTATTATGTCACAGGATCTCGAGAGGATGTTACATCATGGACTTGATTTAGTTTATAAGATGAATGGTCTGTGGACCCCATTCACTAGACGCATGTGCAACTCTCTGGCTTGGTTCCTGCTTGCTGCCAGTTCCATGTTAAAAATGGGCATCTTCATGGTCATTAGGACGCCAGCAACATAATTTCCTGAAATGCACAGCGCGAAGGAAGTGACATTGCAGGCGACCTGATGACCCAAAAGTTGAGGGATTTCTCAGCAAGTGAACTGAGCTGACCAGCTGTGCGCAAATGCAATCAAACCAGCTATCGTTGTCTCCGTGTATAAGGAGGATTGGGATTCTGTAGATCCCAAGCATTGCAGGTGGTTCTGGTTTTGTGTCACTGTGGACATTTACTTTATGTAATTGAACAACCACTGGTTTATTGTGGAAATCCACACCGCATTATACTACTATATAATTTGAAGCGCTGAGGCAGCTTTGGAAGCTAACCTGCCCGGCGTAGCTCAGCGGCAGGGTTGGCTGGCAACACACAGTGCCCGTTTGCTATAGGCACCCAAATGTTCACAATCAAATCTTGATCATCTCATCAGAGGCCAGTCCGGTCACAGGAAGATGTTTGTTTCGAACCTACCCTCCCTTGCCACAGTCCTGGAACTCATTGTTGCAGGTCAACTCCAGTCACACCTCTCCCTCCACTCCCTCCTCGACCCCTGCAGTCTGGTTTTCGGGCTGCCCACATCACAGAGACAGCGCTTGTCAGAGTCACAAACGACATTCTCTCTCTCGGTGACCAGGGCTCCCTCTACCTCCTCGTCCTCCTGCATCTCTCTGCTGCGTTTAACACAGTTGTCCATGCCATCCTCCTCCATCAGCTCACTTCCCTCATCCCTCATGTGGGAACACACGCACATGATTTGAGTCCTACTTAACCAATTGCCTTCATTTCATCTCAGCAAATGGTTTCTCCTCCCACCCAGTCACCTGTGGAGTACCCCAGGGCTCCATCCTTGGCCCTCTTCTTTTCCTTATCTATATGCTCCCTCTGGGCGATGTCATCCACAGACACAGGGTAAATTTACACATGTATATACGGATGACACACAAATCTATGTTGACTCCTCCAGTACCAACTCCAGGTCCGCTGATGTTCTATCAGCTTGTCTGGCAGGCATCAGGGCCTGGATGAGTGTAAACTTCCTGCAGCTGAATATGGACAAGACAGAAGTCATACTCCTTGGCTCCCGTCAACGTCTTCACTCCTGCGGATCTGAACTCCTCAATCTCCCTGGGCTCTCCCTCAGACTCACCAAACCAGTGCGCAATCTAGGCATCCTAGGCATCGAAACTCTTGTGCACGCATTTGTCACACCCACTTGGATTACTCCAATGCACCCCTCATCACCACCACCTGGACCAAACTCTGTACCCACATCTCACCAGGTCTGGCCAGGCTTCACTGGCTCCCCATCACCGAATGGATCGACACCAAGATCCTCATACTCGTATTCAAATCCATTCATTCTCTGACACCTCCCAACCTCTCCGACCTCCTCACTCCCCAATCCACCACTCGGCGCCTACACTCGACTGGCACCGGCCTCCTGCTCATCCCTTACACCCTCCGCCCTACCATCGGAGGTCGTGCTTTCAGCCACTACGCCCCACAACTCTGGAACACTCTCCCTCTGCCTTGCCCCCTTTCCCCCTCTTTCAAGTCCCACCTGAAAAGTTTCCTCTTCGACCATGCTTATGGCCACCTCTTCCTTCCCCCCGGCTTGGAGTCAGGCTCCGCCACTGCTCTGAGACGCTATCCTGCATGGAAGGCGCTATATAAGTGCAACTTGTTGTTGTTTGATCATGGATAAAAGTACAGGGTGTCCGCAAAGTCCTCTTACACCCTGTTACAAAACAGTGATTATGAGATCACAGAGGAACTGAAATAAGAGATGCATTTCTCCTCGTGACTCCATCATGTTATGGAAGATGTCACGCCTAACATGGTGACGGATCCTTATCTGTCATGAAAATGATGGCGTTCATATCTATCCTCTGGACGTCTAAATACAATGAAACACTTCTACTGATACAATTAAGTACTTGTAAATCCAATTATCATCATTCTTCCACGTGTTTCAGTTGTTAGTCATTCCTGTATGAAAAAAACCTGGGGTTAACGGGACTTTGTGAACATGCTGCAGTTTGTTTGTTACCTGTGGTTTTGAGAGAGGATCTCCAGCCTATTCTGGAATCATGACTTTAGGTGTTGCATTAAGTTTTTGTAACAAAATATGTTAGATTGCATGAGGTGGAAGTCCTTGTTCTGAACAGCCTTGCGATTTAGAGACTTAAGTAGCAAACATAATGGACAGACTTACAACACTTGTACAACGTCTTTGCTTTAAAGTTAAAAAATTATATTGTTTCAGGAAGAAACATCTTGCGCCATACTTGCCAAGTCATCCCGTGATCCCTCTGGTCTCCGATAGCGATGCTCGTCCTTTGGGTACAATCAGTGCTGCCCCATGGGGCTCCAGTGCCATTCTACCAATCTCATTGGCCTACATTAAGGTACAGTGCAATACTAGCCTTTAACTTGTGCCCCTCCATGTGAGCTCTCATTGCCACTGAAAAAGTCTTGTGAAACAAGGCTAGCCAATGCCTTGCTTACTAAACCTATTTGCTCACGAATAGGCAGATGCTACAATTGACAGCAGTTCTCAAGGAAGCGTTTTGAGATGTTGTGATATTGTATGGTCTACAGTAAAACTCACATAAGTCTGATCTGTATAAATCACATAAGTCTGATCTATATAAATCGTATAATTGCCTACGTCATACATCTGTCCAAATCCCATTCAAGAGTTTATATTCTATGCAGTTTTGACATAACTCATACTTTGCATAAGTCATATTAAATATATGGTCTCACAGAAAAGGCCAGAAATGGTTAGTTAGGACCTGAAAGCGAGCAACAGATTAATGTTTCGGGTGAGACCTTCATGCCTGGCAGTGACTGAAACTTTACCCTGTCTTTTCTACTTTAGATGCTGATCGACTTGTAAATTTTTTACAATTTTCTGGTTTTATTTCGAATTTTCCATTGTTCTTTCTCCTCCCCCGCCCCAATCTCTAAACATATTCAGTCAGACTGTTCCAGCTAATTTGTCAGCTCAATTGTAAGATGGATTGCTTGCTGCACAGTACTCCATCTAGTGGCTAAACTAGTTGACTTCAGCCAAATAGACTTTTAGTTGTAGGTAGAAAGGAGACAAGATGTGAAATGCAGGGGTGGGGAGGGAGGGGTGATGCAGTTTGTGGTGTTGCGATTATTACAGTGGCAGAAGACACACTTAAAAATGTGTCCTTGAAATCCTTCCCCAAACAACAGACAGGTTATGGAAAGAACAAGAGCTTTTCCTTGATTTCTGCAGAATGGTTTCTCCCTGTGTCTCTTTCAATATTTAAACTGCTGACCTCTCCATTGGGATCTGTGACCTCCAATCCTGGTGACCTTTTAACATTCACATTTAATCTGAATCACAGAATGCACAGTTAATCCACTTTACAGTGTATCCTGTGAAATGCTTTGAGATGTCTCGATGATATGAAAGGCGCTATATTATAATAATAATCCTTGCATTTGATATAGCGCCTTATCACGTCACTGAGACATTGACTGGAGAGATCAGATCATTCCCGGCTAAGTGAGCAGCAGTTCAACCCAGTGTTGCCAGACGCTGTCTTAAAATTAAGGGCTTTGTAATCAGAATTGAACTGTGTTCATCCCTGTCATTTTGTGAGCTAACCCTGTGAACATCCACAGAGGATTATAAATGGGAATTGCTGTGGTGAGGGTGCTATCGGGGTGGGGGGAACTGATCTGTTGCTCTTGACAGTACTGTGAGCCTGGCATACAGCAATGAGAGCATAATTCCTCATTTGGTCAGTGTGGAATTTCACTTCAGTAAACTTGGCATTGTTGATAAGAATTAATTTGTACACTGCAAAAGTAACTGTTTCTCTTAACGCAGATGATGGGTGCAAACGGACTTCGCCACGCCACTGAGATTGCCATCCTGAATGCAAACTACATGGCAAAGAGGTTAGAAACGGTGTACAAGATTGTTTTCAGAGGAGCAAAAGGTAAGAAGGCATTAGTTGGCGTTTGGTGATTGGCACATGTGGTTGATATGACCTGGTCAATTTCCAGTTTAAGCTTGAGGCTGGAGATTCGCAAGCACAGGGTAGATCAAGACACCTGTTATGTGTGGGGAAAAGCTTAGGGAAATCTCAGATTCTGTTCATTAAAACATTAAATATAAAGCAAGTGAAAAATGTTTTTATGTTGCTACTACTACTAATAATCTTTGCATTTTATATAACACTTTATAACGTAATTTGGGATGTCTCAAAGCGCTTCACAGAATATATTGCAAAGTAAATTGACTATATATTTTGTGGATGAAACACGGCAGTCAATTGCACACAGCAGTGATCCACAAACAATCGTGACCAAATTGTTATTATTTATTTTTTTGAAGGGATTATTACTCCCGGAAAATGATCCGCCAATTGATTAGCAACCGGGTTCTTATTTACTACTTGGTAAACTGAAGCGTGTGTAATAAGGAAACTTGCTTAAGGTTTCGCACTGTCCGGGAATTGAACCTGGGACCTCTCATTTGTGAAGCAATTGCTCTAAACAATACACTACAGAACTCCACATATGGAAGAATCTGCAATATGAAATACATTAATAAAATTATTACTGTTTTGCTCATCAGCGTGAAATGTTTCCAGCTTTGTTTCCGAGTAAGTTGTCTTCTGAAAAAGATAGGAATCGTATTCCTGTCTCAGTGAATGAGTGTCTGTTAGGCTACCCCCAAGCCCCCGTATGTCACAACACACAAAATCTTGGTTCTGATCTGAAGTTTCCTGAGTCAGCCTGGTGTAGAGGGGATTCACCATCTTGGCTGACACTCCAACACAGTGCTGGAGGTTTTGTTGCACTGTTGGAGGTGACGTTTTTTGGATGAGGCGTTAAACCGAGGATCCCATGGCTTTACTCAAAAAGAGAAGGGCGTTTCTCTCTCCTGGTTTCCCAGCCAACAATCCCCCAAATAAAATCGGTCATTCACTTCATGGCTGTTTGAGACGTTGTGTGCAAATTGGTCACAGACACAGTCGTTGGATTTTACAGTAAAATCCTGTGAAACATTTTGAGAAGTTTTGAGATGATGAGACATTGTATGAAATATAAGGATTATGATTATTTGTCAGAGAATGGCAGGGCTTTTTAGGCTGGTGGGGAAACAGAAGGGTGGCAGTTTGGCTGATCAAATGCTTTTTATCCCCACTGTTCCATGGATACCTTCAAAGCCCTCCATGGACTTGCTCCCCACTATCTCCCCGACCTCCTCAGCCCTTACCACCCTGTTTGCTCCCTCCGCTCAGCGAATTCTGGCCTCCCTCACGTCCCCCACCTTGCTCACCCCACTATTGGCGGGCGGGCCTTCCGCCACTTTCTGGAACTCCATTCCGCAGTCCTGCCATCTCGCCCCCTCCCTCACCACCTTCAAGACCCATCCCGAGACCCTCCTCTTCGGCCGTACTTTCGATCTCCCTGCTTCCCCCACTGTTCTCCACTCTCCCCCACCCTGCCCCCAGCTCGGGTCCATAACTCTGTGTGTCCAGCGCCTTGGGACGTTCGCCCGACGTGAAAGGCACTATACAATGTAATTTTGTTGTTGTTGTTATAGTCCAGGTGAATTCCAATGTACTTGGAGGAGTCAAACCTGAAGCTAGATAGCCATCCATAGTTGAAAGCTGACTGTTAAACATTGACTTTTTATCTGTCAGTGTTTGCCAGTCCACATTCAACTACAGTGAATAATTGTGTATTTTGGGCTTCTACAATATTTCCCCACAGGGTGACCCAGTTATAAAGCTCTTCGCTAGAGAACGAGGCTACTTGTAACAACAACAACAACAAAGTTACATTAGCCTGCAGCCACCGGCCATTTGGGTTTCACCACAGACTGGCTGATCAGCTGCAATTGTGAGCATTGGCGCTAGCAACCCTGGTGTGAGCCGTTGTGGATGACAACTGTCAGTCCACACTGGAAGTCGAACGTGATGTCAGCAGTGACTTGATAAGCAGTCCTTTAAGTACTACCCATTGATGGGTACTACATCAATATACTATATAATAAGTTATATTATAATATTTAGTTATATAAAATATAAGTTCAGGAAGCGGGACTGGTAGCTGTGTTTTTGTGCAGACCTGTTACAGCACAGGATCTAATTTAATGGACAGTAACTCCTGTGTTACAACAGGCTCAACTCTGTGTGATTTCAGTATCTTACCTAAACCTCTAAACATTGTCGACAGGTTACGTAGCCCACGAGTTCATCTTGGACGTGCGACCATTCAAGAAAACTGCCAACATTGAGGCTGTTGATGTTGCCAAGAGGCTGCAAGATTACGGTGAGGAATTTCACGAGGTTTGCGGTCCCACTGCACCTGGGTGAACAGGACCTACAGCTCTTCTTCATTTCTGCTGTTTAAGGCCCAGTTGAATTGATCCACGGTTGATCTCTATTTCTTTGCCATACTGACCGAGTGCTAATTTCTGGTTAATCTTGTGACAAGTGGGTGGCATTCGATGTGGTACACCAACATACTGGGGGTTCCCTGAGAAACCACAGCTCACAGCACTTAGCACTGTGTCTGCCCACTTTCGTCATGACCACATTTTCAACACCAGAGAGGACAGCTACAGCTGTAGTGGTTCACCTGCTGTTTTATGGCCCTGATTTTTAGGGGGATAAAAAGAGAAATAAATGAAAACGATATAAAAGCTAAATGTCAGAATTACAACTCAAGATTGCTTCAAATCCCCTCGCCCCCTCCATCTTATCATCGGTGTGGGGGTTGGGGGTGGAGGAGCGAGTAGAGAAACCATCACCAGTCCACACCTCCCCACCCACCACCACCCAGCTCTCCTGGATTCCCTCCACAATTCTCTCTGCTTCACACTCTTCCCCTCTGCTTTCAATTCCTGGCTAAAAATCTTTCTCAAATGTTCAACTGATCTATTATCAATTAAATTGCTCCTGTTGCAAAAACCGTGCCAGAAGTTAGTTGCTTATTGCAGTGCAGATTATACATGCCCGGTGGTATTTTTGTCCTCAGTGGTGATATCAGAAAACTGTCTCCACTTTTGCTGAATACAGTAAAACTTGCATAAGTCTGATCTGTATGAATAATATAATCACCTAAGTCATACATCTGCCCAAGTCCCGCTCAAGAGTTTATATCCTATGCAAGTTTGACACAACTTTGCATAAGTCATATTAAATGTGTGGTCCCAACTGATGATAATAATAATAATCCTTGCATTTGATATAGCGCCTTATCATGTATTCGAGACATCTCAAAGCACTTCACAGAATATACTGTAAAGTGAATTGACGTTATATTTTGTGGGCGAACCTCATAAAGTGATACCATTTATGTGAGGTTTACTGTACCTTGAAATCTCTCCCTAGGATTTCACGCTCCCACCATGTCTTGGCCAGTCTCTGGTACCTTAATGATCGAGCCAACTGAGTCTGAGGACAAAGCGGAGCTGGACAGATTCTGTGACGCAATGATAAGCATCCGGCAAGAAATAGCGGACATCGAGGAGGGCAAAATGGATATCCGGGTGAATCCGCTAAAGGTAAATTGTTATGTTTAACTGGTAGAGTCCAACAATAATAAATAATAATGCTTGAATTTGATATAGCGACTTATCATGGGGCTGCACAGCCAGGGTAACCGCACAGCCAGAGGCCGCAGAGCCAAGGTAACCGCACAGCCAGGGGCCGCACAGCCAGGGTAACCGCACAGCCAGGGTAACCGCACAGCCAGAGGCCGCAGAGCCAAGGTAACCACACAGCCAGGGTAACCGCACAGCCAGGGTAACCGCACAGCCAGAGGCCGCAGAGCCAAGGTAACCGCACAGCCAGGGGCCGCACAGCCAGGGTAACCGCACAGCCAGGGTAACCGCACAGCCAGAGGCCGCAGAGCCAAGGTAACCACACAGCCAGGGTAACCGCACAGCCAGAGGCCGCAGAGCCAAGGCAACCGCACAGCCAGGGGCCGCACAGCCAGGGTAACCGCACAGCCAGGGTAACCGCACAGCCAGGGTAACCGCACAGCCAGGGGCCGCAGAGCCAAGGTAACCGCACAGCCAGGGGCCGCACAGCCAGGGTAACCGCACAGCCAGGGTAACCGCACAGCCAGGGTAACCGCACAGCCAGGGGCCCCACAGTCAGGGTAACCGCACAGCCAGGGTAACCGCACAGCCAGGGGCCCCACAGTCAGGGTAACCGCACAGCCAGGGTAACCGCACAGCCAGGGGCCGCAGAGCCAGGGTAACCGCACAGCCAGAGGCCGCAGAGCCAAGGTAACCGCACAGCCAGGGTAACCGCACAGCCAGGGTAACCGCACAGCCAGGGGACCCACAGCCAGGGTAACCGCACAGCCAGGGTAACCGCACAGCCAGGTAACCGCACAGCCAGGGTAACCGCACAGCCAGGGTAACCGCACAGCCAGGGTAACCGCACAGCCAGGGTAACCGCACAGCCAGGGTAACCGCACAGCCAGGGGACCCACAGCCAGGGTAACCGCACAGCCAGGGTAACCGCACAGCCAGGGTAACCGCACAGCCAGGGGACCCACAGCCAGGGTAACCGCACAGCCAGGGGCCGCACAGCCAAGGTAACCACACAGCCAGGGTAACCGCACAGCCAGGGGACCCACAGCCAGGGTAACCGCACAGCCAGGGTAACCGCACAGCCAGGGTAACCGCACAGCCAGAGGGTAACCGCACAGCCAGGGGACCCACAGCCAGGGTAACCGCACAGCCAGGGCCGCACAGCCAAGGTAACCACACAGCCAGGGAACCGCACAGCAGGATAACTGCACAGCCAGGGCCCCACAGCCAGGTAACCGCACAGCCAGGGGCCCAAGCAGGGTAACCGCACAGCCAGGGTAACCGCACAGCCAGGGTAACCGCACAGCCAGGGTAACCGCACAGCCAGGGTAACGCACAGCCAGGGTAACCGCACAGCCAGGGGACCCACAGCCAGGGTAACCGCACAGCCAGGGTAACCGCACAGCCAGGGTAACCGCACAGCCAGGGTAACCGCACAGCCAGGGTAACCGCACAGCCAGGGTAACCGCACAGCCAGGGTAACCGCACAGCCAGGGTAACCGCAGGGTAACCACACAGCCAGGGTAACCGGACAGCCAGGGTAACCACACAGCCAGGGTAACCGCACAGCCAGGGTAACCACACAGCCAGGGTAACCACACAGCCAGGGTAACCACACAGCCAGGGTAACCACACAGCCAGGGTAACCGCACAGCCAGGGTAACCACACAGCCAGGGGACCCACAGACAGGGTAACCACACAGCCAGGGTAACCACACAGCCAGGGTAACCGCACAGCCAGGGTAACCGCACAGCCAGGGTAACCGCACAGCCAGGGTAACCACACAGCCAGGGACCACACAGCCAGGGGCCCCACAGGCAGGGGAGGTGGAGAGGAGAAATCAAGAGCCATAGTTGTGTCTGCCAGCGTGCTGCCTGCTGCCAGGTCATGTGCTCAGGAGGCAAGTGCCCGAGACTGCCAGCTCCCCACCCCCATCCTGAGACAACCACGGCCTGTGTGCTGAGGGCACTGTAGAAACCACAAACTGCCTGAAGCTGTATTTTATGCTTTTCTAATACATTTTGTACATTTTGCTCTATAAATAATAAATATAATTCTTGCGTTTGACATAGGAGGGGGCGAGGTGGAGGGATTGAGGCAGAGAGTTCTATAGCTTTGGGACATATTGGCTGAATGGAGGTCTTTTGTTCCGCCACCACCACCAACCCAGCTCTCGGCTCAGGGAGCCTCGTTGGGATGGGTTACTATCCCGCTACTTTGAGGTGGCAGCGGGTGTTGGAGTGGGGCATAAGTGGAGTGGACTGGGCCTCGGGGTTTAGATGAGCAGTCTGGTACCACAGGGAGAGGTCGCCCTCAGCCTGCCACATTGCAGCTGTTTTGACTGTTGTGGCAAGAGTGAAATTGAGCTGGCGTTCATTTGCCAGACCACTTGTTCGTCTGTACCTCCTGCCAGGAGTTCTGTGTGGCAGACAAATTGTGAATCTGTCCCATCACCTATGTCCACACTCGGGCGCATCCTTCACCTACTAGGCCTAGCTCCATCATCAAAATACGAGCTTTCTGACAGATTGCCATTCAGACACTTTCACCAAATGGCTCTGGATCTGCTTCAGGGCTGTGGAGTTCTCATCGGGATTGACACTAACAATCACGAGCATTTCAATATTTTTCCAAAACGAAATGATAATCCTTACATTTGATATAGCGCCTTATCATGTCGTTGAGACGTCTCAAAGTGCTTCACAGAATATATTGTAGAGTGAATTGACTGTATATTTTTGGGCAAAACATAAAACAGCAAAAAAGTCGTGGATTGAGTGACCAAATTATAGAAAAAAATTGGGTGGCTGGGAGCGATTATTACCAACTGAAAGTGATACGTCAATCAAAACAAGCAAATTCCTACTTCTTGGTAAACGGAGATGTGTGCCCCCTCACTCTCCACCTTCAAGGCCCGCTTAAAGACCTTCCTTTTTGATCGTGCTTAGCGTCCCCTCCCTCTGGCTCGGGGTTAGACTCCGCCACTGTCAAGCTCTCCGGTACACCACCCTGTGGGAAAGGCGCTATATAATTGCACGATGTTGTTGCTGGAGTAAGGATATTTGCCTACGGTTTTGCCCTGCCCAGGAATCGAACCCAGGTCCTCTCACTTGAGAGGCGAGCACGCTAACCACTATGCTACGGGACTCTACAAATGATTAATCAGACTTTTCCCCGAACATCCCCAGCAAAATAATGTTGGGATCGTAAGTGCAATGTTTCAGTCCACGGAATGACACACATGCAGTACCAGGACATATCTCATGATGGCTCTGCAGGCCTTTTGTTGTCCTTTTGGAGCAGTTCCTGTTGGAGCTGCTCAGCTTAGCTTGTGGCTGCACATTTCATAGCGACATTGGGGTGAGCTGTATAATTATTTAAATTGTAAAAAAAAACACAATTCAATAGCGAGACATCAGAATTTACCACAAAAGGCTGGCGATTTAATAATACTAATAATCCTTGCATTTGATTTAGCACCTGATCATGTCATCGAGACGTCTCAAAACCTTTCACAGGATATGCTGTGAAGTGAATTGGCTGTACATTTTGTGGGCAAAACAATTTTTTTTCTGTGTAACACACTGTTAGTTACAGGAAGTATAATTTTTTTATTGACGAAGAAATGAGACAGCAGCTTGTTAACTTTGCTTTGACAGGCTCTCCCTGCCCTGCCGATACCTCCTCCATCCTGGATAACGTCATCAGGGAACCATCACCACCACCACTGATTAGTTCCTCTCCATGTCACTCACTGACCTGACTTACAAATATAGTGCAGTGGTTAGAGCACTCGCCTCGCAAGTGAGGGTTTGAATCCTGGGCAGGGCGAAACATTGGGCAAGTTTCCTTACTCCACACCCCTTTGTTTACCGAGCAGTAAGTAGGAACCTGGTTGTTAATCGATTGGCGGATCGCTTTTCCCGGGGTAATAATCCCTTCACAAAAAAAAATAATTTGGTCACTCAATTATTGTCACCCACTTGGATTACTCCAACACACTCCTCGTCGGTCTCCCCAGCTCCACTATTCACAAGATCCAGCTCTGCCGCCCGCATACTGACCCGGACCAAACTCTGAACCCACATCTGGACACGTGGAGTCTTGTAGCTCAGTGGTTAGAGCACTCACTTTGCAAGTGACAGACCTGAGTTCAATTCCAGGCAGAGGGCGAAACCTTGGGCAAGTTTCCTTACTCCACACAGAGCCTAATAATAATCCCTCCAAAACCAAAAACAATAATAAAATTAGTCATTTTTAATCTACGACTGTTTGTGGGACATTGCTGTGCGCAATTGGCTGCCGCGTTCGCCCACAAATATACAGTCAATTCACTTTACAGTGTGTTCTGTGAAGCGCTTTGGGACGTCCTTCCGACGTGAAAAGCGCTATATCAAATGCAAGGATTATTTAAGGATTATTATTAATAATCCCTCCAAAAAACAAAACAATAATAAATTGTCATTTTCAATCTACGACTGTTTGTGGGACATTGTTGTGTGCAATTGGCTGCCATGTTCGCCCACAAATATACAGTCAATTCACTTTACAGTATATTCTGTGAAGCGCTTTGGGACGTCTAGAAGACGTGAAAAGCGCTATATCAAATGCAAGGATTATTATTATTATTATATCTCTCCAGTTCTGGCCAGGCTCCACTGGCTCCCCATCACCGAACAGATCAACTTCAAGATCCTCACACTTGTGTTCAAATCCATTCACTCCCTGCACCTCCTTACCTCCTCTCTCCCTAATCCACCACTTGGTGCCTCCGCTTGACTGGCACCGGCCTCCTGCTCATCCCTTGCACCCTCCGCTCCACCATCGGAGGCTGTGCTGTCAGCCACTATGCCCCAAAACTCTGGAATACTCTCCCTCAATCCCTCCACCTTGCTCCCTTTCTCCTCCCTTTCAAATTCCACCTGAAAACTTTCCTCTTTGACCGTGCATACAGCCACCTCCCAACTCCTCCTGGCTATATCAAATGCATATACTGCTTGCTCTTTTATTGTTGTTGTATTGTTACTGGATCAAAACCTTGGTAGTCCCTACGAGTTATCTGCCCCAGAGCCAGAAAATTGAATTCTACTCTTGTTTGTAGTATGCAATAGCAGCCAGAGCTAGTGCCAGGTTGCAGTACTGTAACCCTCCTACAATTGAAGAAGCAATTTACTTATAGAGATGGAGGGGGGCGGGGGGCGTCGTGGGTGGTCAAGACAGAGGGCTCAAGTGAGGGAGTCCAGAACAGGTTCATAGAATCGCAAAGCTCAGCCATGGATGATAGGGCGGGTGTCTGCACATGAAAGCCAGACGTATACTGCACTCCCTATATGAGCCAGGCACGTTATATTGGTCTCCCTGTAGAAGTTCCCTGATCATCCACGGGAACCTGCACTGTATCATTGCCACAGTTCTGGAAAAAGGGGTGCACACAACTGCATAAAACCCCAACCGAGGGCCTGACCAACATCTTACATTGATTTAACATTCATTTGGTACATTTGTATTCAGTGCCCCAACATAGTTTAAAGCCAGAAAGCCATTTGGCTCACTCTGGATTTTCATTGTGGATTGCAGAGATGACAGATCCGGTTCACTGACCCACTCCTCGTCTTCTCTGGCAGCTCCCTCTCTGGCCAGCTGCTGCTCCTGGCACTGACAGAGTATCAAGAGGTTCAGCCCTGACATCCTTGAATTTTAAGTTTTCCGCTGTGAAGAGCAACAAGTAATTGACATTATATGACTCCATATGTAGGCAAAGCATTTGCCAAAAGGGTGTTGTGCGGGGGGTGGGAAAGAGAAATAACAGTATTGCCAACGACAATATGTCGAGTTTATTCACTGTAACTTCCAGTTAGCAGGGCAAAGATACGCGGTGCTGACCACTAGAAATACAGTCGGTTTAAGATCTTCCGCTCTGCTGCCCTCGCTGTCAGTTTGAGGTCGAGACCCCATGATGTTTGCTGCTGTGCTTTCAAGCGTCGCATTTCACTCTTGAATTCCTGCTGATAGCGAGACAAGCACAGCTTGGCTCAGTCTCACCTTCCTAGATGAGGCAAGGGAGAGCTCGTGCCTCAACCCTTTTCATGGTGCATTGGGAATTTTAAAATCAAAATATTTCCAGTCAGTGCATTAGAAGAACAAGGCGACCAGGTTGGGAAACGTGCTGCAACCTGTGGGGCCTCCGAACAAAAACAACCCCCGCCCCACCACCCCCATGTAGCTGGCGTTTACAGCACTCAACAAGGCACTTGTTGTGCCAGCATGCCACGTGTTGGATGGAAAAGCAGGAATCCTGGAAAAACATCCCTTCATACAATACTATAGTGTTTGTGCTGTAATTGACTTGATATTGCTCAGGATTTTGAGTTTTGGATGATTTTAGCAACAGAGGAGGCAGCAAAAGAACCGAGGGACCTTGGTACAGCGATGGGGATTCTGTTAAAGGGTGCTTAGTGCAATGACCCATGTACCCGCTAACAAGCCACATTGTACTGGTAAAAACAGTGAGGCCATCGGTTCATCACCCAAAGTACAATACGTACAGTACTAACAAAACATTGATGCTGCCAACTGTAATACCACACAGTATTAATCCTTCTCATTTCCCCTAGATTGCCAGCCCCTCTAACCTACACAGAATGCCAGCCCAGTTACCCCCCTCCACACAGTGCCAGCCTTCATCTCCCCCCACTCCCATACACACACACAGTGCCATCCCTTCTTTTCCCAGCACAGTGCCAATGCTTCTTAATTCAACCCAGTGAGCAACAGATCTCTGGAAATGCTCACATTTAAAAAACAATCCTGACACTGGTTCAAAACAGTTGCACAGATAAATAATTCTACACTCAGCACAACTGGTGTGGTTGAGCAGACACGACACGTGGATATAGAGCGCTTGCCTGGAGCCTGAATTTGTGAGTGACGATGAGCAGGGTCTCTGGCTTTCTAAAGAGAACTTTCTCACCCTCAAGACTTTCTCAATCGTAAAATTGATGTACCGTATCAGGTTACTAAATATTTTTTAAATATTGGACATTAAAAGCATTGAATCGATATAATTAATGAAACAAGAAATGACTATTGTCTAAAAACCATCATCCTGTCAGGTATTGAGAACGAACACAGTGCTATGATCTGGCAGCAAATACTCTGACTGGCTGTCAATTAGTGACTTGTGAACAGTTTGTCCAGTGTGTAGGCATGTATGCAGAGAGGGTGGGGGGAGGAAGTGGGCAACACAGGCAATCCTGGATATTCTTACTGTGGCAAATAGTGAGGACAAAACACAAAGGGCCATTTTGTGAAGTGGATACAAATGGTTCAGTGGTTGTTTCACAGCTGGAGGGGATCATTGCCAGAATTAACCCATTTTGATGTGCTTCGGAATTTCAAGCCTGATTTTTCTTCTCTTTTTAAAAAAATATATAGATGGCTCCACACACGTTGGCTTGCATCGCTGCGTCTAATTGGGACCGTCCATACTCTCGAGAACAAGCGGCATTCCCATTGGTAAGTCTGGGATTAAAACAACAGGGAAGATCAATTATTAACGCTGGGGTTTTGTAGCACATCTAACAGAAGCTATTGAGGACCTCAATGGGGCTAAAAATAGGACACTGCAAATATCTTGATTTCGTGCATTTGCAATAATTTGAATAGTGTTTGTGTTTGATATTTAAAGTGCCATCTTTTAAATGACTTTAGTTTCTGTCCTGACTTTGTAAACAGTTTAATTGCCTCTCAGCTTGCAGTTCTTTACTTTTTCTAATTCATTGTAACCCTTTTAACCTGTTCCAAGCCTCCATCCTCTGTGGAGATACAATAGAACAATTACCAGTACGGATCTTGACTGTCATTCACACAAGTGCCCACTGGCAAGAAACTTTTGCTAACATTTGAAGAGTGGTGCAGGTTCCACCAGAAAAAAGAGGAATTTGGATACGAATGCAAACCAGACAACAAGCTCACTAGGCACTATTTTCATACATTAAGCGTGACCAGAAGAAATGCATCCTGTAGCCACACCGAATAATTTTGATTTCAGTATTCAGTATTAGTAGATTATTATTATCATTATTTTTATAATGATGACTTCACATATTTAATGAACTGATAATCTCAATTCAAACACATTTGACTTGACTTGAAACACACTTCACAGGTGTTACCTGAATTAACAGGCACATCCTGTGTGATGCTCGGATGATATTAATACTAGTGACATCTGCCAGCTGTATTCCATGCTGAGACATGCTAATACAACATTGTGGGTTTGTCTTTCAGCAATTTGTGAAACCAGAAACCAAATTTTGGCCGACAATTGCTCGAATTGATGACCTCTATGGAGACCAGAACTTGGTGTGCTCCTGTCCGCCTATGGAAGCCTACGAGTCCCCCTTCGCAGAGCAGAAAAGAGCCTCATCATAAGACTCATCTCAGTTTGATTTTTGCAGCTATTGGGTTCAGCAGATGAATATTATCAAGAAGTCCAGTCTGCGATTCATTTTATTTCAAAATCAAGTCAACTGTCTCAGTTTGTAATGAAACAGCTGCAACTCTTTTTTGTAAAGAATAAACACTATGGCTAAGCCACACGCAAGCTGTATTCAGTGCCTCAAATTAAGCAGCATTGAGTTATGGAAGTGGCCTTGATCCTGTGCACTTTTTTCTAGACTCAACTGAGAGCTGCTCCGGTTGCAGATGTGATTGAACTGTAATGTATTGTGCCCATCGCGCTTTTGGAACAGGGAGCAGATAATGATATCATGTGCATCTTTGGCCCAGCCACATAAAGCAGCCCAAGAAGGTAGTATTTTTAATGTGTTTATGTTTGGGGCAAAGCAAGATGTTCTTGTGTGTAATTTGTCATTGCTTCTATAACTGTAACCAGCATCTCCTGGTTTATATAAAACTATTAAAAACAATGTATATTTTAACTCCCCTGTCTTATCATTCCAATAAAAATTCTTGAACTGGATCCACACTACCTTTCTTCACTTGCTGGTTTTAACCAAGTGTTTGGTTGAATCGTGGCCTCTCTATTCCAGGCACTACCATGAAATAGCTGAACCTGAATTTTCCCCAAAAGTTTCTGCTTATTAAGCATTCGGATCACATGTTGTTGAAATATTTCATGCTAAATGAACGCAGAAGCAGAGAGACATTCTGAACTTGGTAGGTGGTATTGGAGGAAAGCTATTTCAAGTTCCTTGAGACATCCTCAACATGAAAGGTACTGGGTCAATGTAAAATACTGATTCATTCATATATTCAGTGGGGAAAACACAATACTATGGGGTCTGTTATGTAAGTTGCGTAAATGTACAACTTGTGAAAACTCTTGTGTTAACACATGCCATGTGTAGAAAAGGAATTACAGGTACTCTATTTAACCCAAATAATTGGTTGTCAAATGGGATATTTAATAATTAGTTAAACCATCAAAATTACAGGCACCTACAAAATTTCCAGGCATTTATTACACATAGCCCATATCACTTACATGTGTACACAGATCATACAATAGACCCAAGTACCAATAGGTTTCGTTAATCTTAGTTTATAGGTATTGCCTTTACTCTTCTTCTTTTCTCCCGATTAGGAAGAATCCCCACCTTAGAGTAAGGACACACTCCCAGGGCCAGGCTCGTGCAACTGATTACTGCCCGGATGAATTGTCCGGAGTGCTGTACATTCCCTGGTTTCAGTTTGGCCTTAAAATTTAAAGTAATTCACTTTACAATATATTCTATAAAATATATTTATCTAGCCTCTTAGGAAAGTTTTGATGAGGACCTGAGGTTCATAAGCAATTTGTGACTAAAATGAAAGGTGGTGGTTAATAATAATTCATAAATTGGATTATTGGCTAAAATAATGAGTTCATGATAGTTATTAATTTCATCAGCAGTTGTTGCAACCCTATCACTTCTGGGATACCCGTTTACACAAAAGCTTTTTTTTCATTTAGTGTGTTCAATTAGTTTCTAATTTTCTCCCCATTGGCAAACACCTCTGCTCTTGCTGGGTACGGTTTCACAGGCACTGGTTACCCTCCAGTCCCACCCAAGTGTCCAATGTTCATGTGTGAGACTTGGCAGTGATTCAGCAAGTAACTCGACTGTAGTGGGTATCACAACAAACCTGATATAACCACACCTGGCCACCATACACATGCACAACCAGGAGAGGGAGAAGGCCTTTTTTGGCCCTCTGTAATCCTGGAAAGATGGGCCGATTTAGGCTCTCCACACAACCTGACTGGGATCAGCAAACTCAGCACGGACTGTGATTTGAACCGACAAGACAATTTGATACTCTTGATCACGGTGATCGATTTCCATCCCCCAGACTTCAAGCTGATCAAATACAATTTAACAACCTAATAAAACAAATTGGAATTGAAAATAGTGTGAGAAAAGCAGGGCAATCCACACTAATATTACTCGGAGGTCACAGTGAGAAATGGGGTTTAATACTGAGTGAGGTGAGGCAATGTGATTCAGGCAGAGTGCTGGGCACATGCTTATCTCTGTACCTCAAGTCTTACAGCATTGGTCAGTGTTGTGGTGATGTATTGCAGATTTGTTCATGCAGCCCCAAAAACTGGACTCTCATCCTGACGCTTGCTCATTCCATGATCCTAGTGGTGGGAGCAGAAACTGTCTGCTTGCAGCCTCTTTTACATGACTAATCTAATGGATCAATTCTTCCTGTGAACCTACCTTGCAGGGGACACGAGTGCGGGGTGTGAAGGACCAATTCTTCAACGCGGGACACAAACTGGCTAAGATGTTACGTTGTCTGGATGACCCAGAACCATTTCAACAAACACAGATACATCAATGCTGAGGCAGGATGGAACAACACATAGCAATAGAGCAGATTAAATTCCATAGATCTGTCAATCAAAAAGGATTTTCATAATTCATACACCAGTGCAAAAACAGCTCTGAACTAGAGAATGAAAGTATTCAACGCTAATGGCCATCAATTCTATGGCAATACTGAGGGTACTTACCCTGATCTGTGCCACAGAAAAACATTCTTTAGCAGGGGGTGCTTTAGTGGGAATTTCTAACTCATCATAGCCTCTACTTGGTTAACTTTGACTGAGTGAACCAAGCACCTGCAGACTGTAATATGGTTTGCCTTATAGTTGTACACTTGGAGGCTTGAAATAAATATTTTTAATATACTCAATTCCTTACCCTTTACATTAAAACAGCAACATTAAATAATTACGTACTATGCCATTCCTGAGCCTACGTCATGTAAATATGGCAGTGAGAAAAAGTGCTGAGATTTCAACATTCTAGCACCAAATTGATTGAAAAGCTAGATATACCAGTGCCAGCATTACAAGGTTAACATACCTAGTTTTATGTGTTGGTTATTCAACAAGAACCCAAGATAAGCTGCATTACATGCATTAGAATATGTTAGATTATACAGCAGAGAAACAGGCCATTCGGCCCAACTGGTCTGTGCCGGTGTTTATGCTCCACATGAGCCTCCTCCTGCTCTTCCTCAACTAAACCTTCAAGCATAACCTTCTATTCTTTTCTCCCTCATGTACCTATCTAGTTTTCCCATAAATACATCTATGCTATTTGCCTCAACAACTCCTTGTGGTAGTATGTTCCACATTCCTACTACTCTCTGTGTGAAGAAATTTCTTCTAACTTCCCTATTTGATCTATTTGTGACTATTTTATATTGATGGCCCTGGTTTTGGTCTCCCCCACAAGTGGAAACATCTTCCCTATGTCTACCCTATCAAAACCTTCCATCATTTTAAAGACCTCTATCAGGTCACCCCTTACCCTCCTCTTTTCAAGAGAAGAGTCCAAGCATGTTCAGCCTTTCCTGATATGTATAACCTCTCAGTTCTGGGATCATCCTTGTGAATCTCCTTTGAACCCTCTCCAGTGGCTCTACACCCCTTCTATAATGTGGGGACCAGAACTGCACACAGTATTCTAAGTGTGGTCTAACCGAGGTTCTGTAGATGTTTAGCATAACTTCCCTGCTTTTCATTTCTATCCCTCTAGAAATGAACCCTGTTGCCTGGTTTGCTTTTTTTATGGCCTTATTAACCTGCATTGCTACTTTTAATGAATTGTGTATGTGTACCCCTAGATCCCTTTGCTCCTCTATCCCATTTAGGTTTTTATTTTCCAGGATGTATGTGACTTCCTTATTCCTGCTACCAAAACGTACCACCTCACACTTTTCTACATTGAAATGCATTTAAATGCCCATTCAGCAAGTTTATTAATGTCTTGTTGTAGTCCTCCTCTGTATTAACTATTCCCCCCAATTTGGTGTGATCCGCAAATTTTGAAATTCTACTGCTGATTCCCGAGTCCAAATCATTAATGTATATTGTGAAGAACAGTGGTCCCAATACTGATCCTTGTGGAACACCACTGCCCACTCCCTGCCAGTCTGAGGATTCCATTATCTTTCCTACCACCGATGTTAAGCTGACAAGTCTATAGTTCCCTGGGCTTGTTCTATCTACCTTTTAAAATATAGGTGTAACATTAGCTATCCTCCAGTTCTCTGGCACTATTCCCTTTTCTAATGAGTTATATATGTGTAATAGTGCCTCTGCTATTTCTTCCCTTGATTCTTTTAATATACGTGGATGCAATCCATCCGGACCAGAGGTTTAATCCTCTCTGAGTTTCATTAGTTTTTCGATTGTATCTCCCCTTTGTATCTTAAATGCACTTATTATTTTTGATCTCTTCTTCTACTGTCATGTCCACCTGATCTGTCTCCCTGGTGAATACTGAGGCAAAATAATTATTTAATATTTCTGCCATTTCGGTGTCACGGCTTGTGAGCTTATCTTGTCTGTCCCTTCGTGGCCCTATTCCTATTTTGATTTTCTTTTGTTATTTGTCTGTAGAATATTTTACTATTTCTTTTTATATTCTTAGATAATTTAATTTCATAATTCCTCTTTGCCTTCCTAATAGTTTTTTTTGACTATTCTCCTGATCTCTTTGTATTCTTTTTTGTCATGCTCTCCCTTGTTGTTTACGTACATAGTGAACGCCTCTTTCCTGAGTCTCAACTTTGCCCTTATGTCTTTATTCATCCATGGTGTCTCATTATTATTTAACTTTGTCTTGTTTTTCAGCAGAATATATTTCTCCTGGACTCTATTGATCATTGTTTTAAATATTTTCCACTGCTGCTCTATCTCTTGGTTTGCTAATATCGTTTTCCAGTTTATTTTCACAAGTTCCATTCTCATCCCCTCAAAATCAGCTTTTTTCCAATCAATTACCCTGGTCTTTGTCATACTCATGGCCTTCTCGATCTTAAACCTTATTGAGTTATGATTGCTATTGCCTAGATGTTCCCCTACTCGTACTTCTCTTATCTGCTCTGGTTCATTTCCCATTATTAAATTTAGCAGCGATTCCTCCCTTGTTGGGCCTCTTACATACTGGGTAAGAAAGGAGTCCTGTACACATTGAAGGAACTCCATTCCCTTATCCCCTTTATCTTCCTATTCTGGCCAATTTATTTGGGGGTAGTTTAAATCCCCCATGATTATTACTCTATGTTTTTTTACTAATTTCCTTGCATATTTCTTCCTCTACCTCGCTTCCACTGTTAGGTAGTCTGTAGAGTACTCCTATTTGTGTGATTGATCCCTTCTTATCTTTTATCTCTCTATCCACACAGATTCCGTGTGGATCTTACTGTTGGCTATGTCCCTTTTTTCTACTGCCATGATGTTCGTGCACAAAAACGGCTTTCTACTCCAACATCGTCTTGGAGGCCAAAAACAATCCCCAAATCCTTTTCCCACCATCCATTACCTCCTCCGTGCGCCCCCTCAGGCCTCCTCAATCTTCACATCCAATGCCAATTGCGAGGAAGATCATGGACTTCTTTTCATCCAAAATACACAATACCCACCAGGCAGCCTCATCCTCCTGCTTCTTGTCATCCACCACCTCCATCCCCATCATCAGCTCCTACCACAACCCCCATCCTACATTCCTTCCTCCCCATCTCTCCCTCCTCCCTCTCATCCACCATTACCTCAATGAAACCCACCACCTACTGCCTTGACTCCCTCCCCACCAACTTGCTGGTCACCCAGCTCCCCCTCCACTGCCCACTACTGGCTGACATCATCCCTCTCCTCCGAATCAGTCCCTGTCCTCCGGATCAGTCCCTGCCCCCCTCAAAACTGCTGTCATCACCCTCCTTCTCAAAAAAACCTTCCCGAGATCCCTCAAACTCCAGTCATTACTGCCCCATTTCTAACCTGCCCTTCCTCCCTAAAGTCCTAGAACATGTTGTTGCCAATCAACTTCGCGCAAACCTCTCCTCCCACTCCCTCTTCGAACCTCTCCAGTCCGGTTTCCGCCCTGTCCACAGTACAGACACTGCGCTTGTGAAAGTCTCAAACGACATCCTCTCTATCTGTGACCAGGGCTCCCTCTGCCTCCTTGTCCTCCTGGACCTCTCCGCCGCTTTTGACACAGTTGATCACGCCATCCTCCTCCACCGCCTTTCCTCCGTCATCCACCTCAGTGGGACCGCACTCGCCTGGCTCGAGTCCCACCTCACAAACCGCCAGCAGTACATCTGCACAAACAGCTTTTCCTCCCGCTCTCACCTGGTCACCTGTGGGGTCGCCCAAAGGATCCATCCTTGGCCCCCTCCTATTTTTGATCTACATGCTCCCTCTTGGGGATGTAATCCGCAGACATAGGGTACATTTTCACATGTATGCGGACGACACCCAACTCTATTTTTCCACCTCACTTTGTACCCCCAGTCCCCTGATGTTCTGTCAGCCTGCTTATCAGATCTCAGGAGCTGGATGAGCGCAAATTTCCTTCAGCTGAACGTTGACAAGACGGAAGCCATACTCTTTGGCTCTCGTCAACGTCTAAAATCACACGGTTCTCACCTCCTCCACCTACCCGACCTCCCCTTAAAACTCTCCGAACCGGTACGCAACAGAGACGTCAGGTTCGACCCCAATTATCCTTCCTCCCCCACATCTGGTCCCTCACCAGCACCGCTTTCTTCCACCTCCGACGCATCGCCCGTCTCCGCCAATACCTCACTCCAAAAGCTGCTGAAACCCTGGTCCATGCCTTTGTCACCTCTCGGCTGGACTATTCAAACGCCCTCCTCACCGGTCTCCCCTCCATTACCATCCATAAAATCCAGGTTATACAAAACTCTGCCGCCAGCATTCTCACCCGCACCAAACTCCACTCCCCGATCACCCCAGTCCTTGCCAGACTGCACTGGCTGCCTATCCCAGAGAGGATCGACTTCCAAGATCCTCACCCTTGTCTTCAAATCCCTCCACTCCTCTGCACCTCCCTACCTCCTCTCTCCTCACAACAGTGCCCCCCACCTTCGTTCCTTTGTGTCCCCCGAGTCCTCCGCTCCACCATCGGTTGCCATGTCTTCAGCCACTACGCCCCAAAGTGCTGAAACTCCCTTCGCCTCGCCCCCTCTCTTCCCACTTTCAGGTCTTGGCTAAAGACTTTTCTTATCAACCGGGCCTTTGGTCACCTTCCCCCCCCCCCACCCCCCTCCCCCTGTCCCGGCCCCGGGAATCATTACTGTGAAGCACCCTGAGACACCATCCGGCGTGGAGGACGCTTTATAAATCCAAGTTGTTGTTGTTGTAGTATGTTATCCGTAACAAGTACAGCTACTCCACTGTCAGTTTAATTCATTATTATGAATTGTTCCTCTCATTTTATTTTTGACAAGTCTTTTCACACTTCTGTCCTATAATTGTATTAATTCCCTGACCATTTATATTCTTATTTCTTACTTTTGTCTGGCTTGAGTCACCTCCTTCTGATTACTCCCCACCATTTGATAGCTGGGGATAATGTCGTAACTTTATTCCAGTATATTTACCAATGATTATTTGGTCTTTGTCCAGTGTTCCTATTTTCTATTGGGACCCAAGCAATAGCCTTGTGCCCAAGTGGATGTATTGGAGACTAGCCATTGCTGGTGGAAACTTAAGTTTGTTCTGTTTTCTCTCTGATTTGGAGAGACAACACAAAGTAGGGTTCAGTAGGCCGGCCAGGAAACATTTTCAGATATTGGGAGTTAAATTTAGTCAGGTTGGACTAAAAAGTTTGCTGGAATCCTTTTCATGGATGAATTACATAATTAAGGGTGCTTGCATATGTATCCAGTCCCTGACCAGGACCGTCTTCTTCCACCTCCGCCACATTGCCCGCCTCTAACTGTACCTTATCCCCAACGCAGCCGAAACCCTTGTGCATACGTTTGTCACCTCCCGCCTGGATTACTCCAACGCACTCCTCGCTGGTCTCCCCAGCTCCACTATTCAAAAGATCCAGCTCATTCAGAACTCTGCCGTCCGCATACTGACCTGGACCAAACTCTGTACCCACATCTCACCAGGTCTGGCCAGGCTCCACTGGCTCCCCATCACCGAACAGATCGACTTCAAGATCTTCACTCTCGTGTTCAAATCCGTTCACTTTCTGGTACCTCCCTACCTCTCCGACCTCCTCACTCCCCAATCCACCATTGGCGCCTCCGCTCGACTGGTACCGGCCTCCTGCTCATCTCTCGCACCGTCTGCCCCACCTTTGGAGGTTGCGCTTTCAACCATTACTCCCGAAACTCTGGAACACTCTCTCTCAATCCCTTCGCTTTGCCCCCTTTCAAGTCACACCAGAAAACCTTCCACTTCGACCGTGCTTACGGCCACCTCCTCCCACCCCACCTAGCTTGAAATCAGGCTCCGCCACTGTTAAGCGCTCTGAGACACTACCCTGCGTGAAGGGTGCTATATAAGTGCAAGTTGTTGTATGCACATGGTTAGCCCATGGGTGACAAGTCCAACCTGTATGTTCCACCCCATTTTTCTATCCTCTATAGAGTCATGTCTCCATGGGCATGTTTGATGGAAAAAAACGTGTAGTTCAGTTAAATTCTTTTTTAAAAAAAAGTTCTTGGGGGGAATAAGTTAGTATCATAACTACTATCATAGTATCATACTGAAAGATTGCAAGCAGCAAGTTCAATAGTCAATCCATAGTTAAAAGTCATTGTCTTCTAGGGAGTGCATCATTGAGTGTATGTAAATTTATGTACATAGATTGACTAAATACAGTAGATGATCAAAATTAACATGCACATTGGAGGTGTCTTCCCTGACAATGTGTTGTTGCCTCCCAGTAATACTCACCTCTCTCACCATTCCTTGCTCAGAGTCCTTCAGTCCAGTTGTTGACTTGCACTGAAGTTCTCTTGGAAGTCACAATGACATCCTGCATTGTGTCCTTGGTTCGTTGTGTCCTTGGTTCGTTTTTGCACTCTCTGCTGTTGTAGACACTGTTGACCCATTTATTTTCCTTTATCCCATTGCTTCAGCAGTGCACATCCATACTATTCTATCATGGCTCCACTCTTATCTATCTCACGGTTACATCGCCTCTTCTAAAGGTATATCCCAGGCCTCTATCCCTGATCCACTCATATTCCTTACCTGCATGTTCTTCCTTGGCTTCATTTGCCCACAAAATACAGTCACTGCACTTTACAGTATATCCTGTAAAGTGCTTTGAGGCATTCTCCTGCCATGAATGGTACTATACCAAATGTAAGGATCATTATAATCATGATCTGCAAACTCAAGGCGAACTTCCAAATGTACAGCAAGGTTTACTTCTCCACAATCGTCCTTCATTCTTGCTGCTTGATATCAAATCCCAGAAGAGCCATAAACCTTCTTCAACAATATCCTGATGAGACTAGTGATTTTGTTCATATCTCACACACACTCAAGTACCCCTGACTCTAATTCGACTAATTACCCAACTGTTTATTTTGGCTGAAACAGGGTAATGTGCAACCTCAGCATTCTGTTTGATACCGAGTTTCAACCTCCTCACCTGATTATGTTTCCATCTCACCACCATCATGAGTGAAATCCTTATCTGTACTTTCAGCAGCTCTAAGGTAGATTTTTTTCTCCAATATTCTCGTTGGCCTCTTTAACTGAGCCCTTCCCAAACCTAAACCTATGTATCTTATCCAATGCATTGTCCCAACCCACACCATCCATGTATCCTTGCGATTGGTCTGTTGATCCTCTGGAATTCTTGGGAGTCTGTTCCAAAACCACTTCCTTCCTCCGGTTGCTATCAGTCAACTTTTAAAGCCACTCTCTTTGATGTTAACTTTGTTTGGTTGTATGTAAATTTTTCCCACATTCATGACTCTTTGTTGAGCACTTTGAGGTGTTCTTTTACATAAGTTGTACCATTTCAGTGCAAATCCTTGTTGTGATAACTTGACCACGTTAAACACTTAATGGTCAGTCTTTCACATCAGCTTCCCCATCCCTCCTTCCCCCATTGATTGCATATAGCAATAACAATTACTTCAAAGTCAAAACCTAGTAAATACATTTCAAATGTTAACATGTTTATTGGTAAGTACTGGTCAAGGAATATATATCAAATTTCAAAATCACAAATATGAATAGTTTTTCTAACCCTCTCCAAGCTAGCATTGCTTAAACACCGATACAGACATAATTGCCACAAACAAATAATCTAGTTATAATATATATAATGTGCGACTAAAATTCTAAAAGTGGCATATTCAGTAATAACAAATGTTTTTTACATAATGTATTCTGTTCAACTAGAAGTGCTTTTTTTTCTTTTATGCATTTTGAAATGCAAACATAATACAGAAATCACTGAACACTAATGGAGATACAATGTTACAGAATTTTAACCTTAGAAGCCATTAGTAGTCAAACCGTTCAAAATATAACAAGAAACCACACTTAACCTCACAAGAAAAGCCTGTTAACTTGCTGTTTTTTAATTTTTAAAAATGTTTTCAAAATAGCAACATTATAAAATCAAAGTAAAGAGAGATATACTCACCACAGAATTACTTTAAAATCATTTATAATTTTCAGTGCTATTACATTTCAAAACCAAGCATTTATGGACCAGGCACAGATAATATCAATTTGAGGAGGCAGTGTGTAGCTGGACTTCGTTTTGACTGAAAACTCCCCTTAAATTCCTTTCCACTGTCTTGAGGTAGTATTTTTTTTTAAAAAGTCAAGCATCAGACCAATTTATATTTTGGTACTGAGCAATTTTAGTCTACAGATTGGCAAGAACTACCTTAGATGTTATCAGACAGTCAATGGAATAAGAGCAATATACTGCATTATGCACTGTATAATAATGAGATGTTTAAGATGGTCCAATGGGGGAAGAAACATTAGCGGTTCTACAATGGTTGTCTCAAGTTGTTTGCCTTCAGGCCTATTGGTCCATCATTGAATTACTTCTCTCTCTCGCTCTCTCTCTATTTCCCCCTTGTAAAAACGTGTGCAGATGGGAGAGCCATTTACACCGATGAGTGTCATCGTCCCTTGCTGTATCCTGGAAAAAACTGGTCCAGAATAGATTGGAGAACCTTGTTGGGGACCATGTTGTAGTCTTTTCCAAGTTCATGACGGCAAGCCGGACAAGTGTACACCTGGGCTCGGAACGATCGCTGCAGGCAGCTCTGAGGAAAAGCAAAATATTCAATGAGATTCATAAACCTGCCCTTATTAACCTTGGTTTAGCCATTTCAATTTACCACAATCTCATAACTACTCACATCGTGGACAATATTCTGCAGGAGTGGGGAAGGACACTTATACAAGTCCACAAACTAATGATGTAAAAATGTTTAGCACATGAGGAAAAATGTAAATATCCGCACAGTACTGCAGTTCTCTCCCCACAAACGTAGCTCTGCCATTAAGTTCACTCCATGGCTGAACATGTGCACAATAAATTACAGACTGTAATTTCCAGTTTATTTCCCCCTTATAATTTCTGGCAGCTCCAAATTCCTAACCAAAACAGAAATCCCAAATTTTTTAAATATATCTCTGCTGTCTACATGTACACATCTAGGCTTGAAACTAGGCTATTCTAAAGAACAGCTTGTTTCAGAAAACCAACTTGCAAAACTATGCAACTTATTTGCTTTAAGATCACCACTAAAAGTTCCTCCTTTTCTCCAACACTGAGAACAACAGCTGGATGGGGTGACATGGTTCAGCCACTTGACCCCCTGATTGACAATTCTCATTGGTACCCTTTTTGTCTTCAAGTGGATCAAACGTCAAAACAATGCAGCGCAAGGGACCAGCAGTAGTTTTTTTTGCTTTTGTGACTACATTTAGTCATAAAATATAGATAACAGTGGGACTCTCTATACAGTACAAGTCGCTAACCTGCATGATGGGCCCCATATCAATACAAGTTCTCAAGTTATCCGCTGGAAAGTCTGCGAGACTGAATAGGTTGACTCACACTCCAATCTTTGCATGCTCTGAGGACAAGTCTCTCCTAGTTTCACAGTGAATTGTGGATGAAGAACCAACATCCTTCAGTTGTTTTAATTCAGCATAAAACAATTCCATCCTTTCAGAGATGATTTCTAGTTAAAATGCTCAAGTTCTCCAGAGAAAAATGGGCAAGACTCACTTGGCAGTTAGGCATGACATTTTCCACTTTCTTTCTGTACATTGAAACTCATTGTCATTCAGTTTATTTTGCAAACACTGGCAGTGTTAAAGCAAGTGACTGGCTGTCCAACACTCACCCTGCAGACATTGTGCTGGCATTCTGTGGTGATTGGCTGGAAAACCAATTCCTGGCAGCAAATGCACATAAAGATCTGCTCCAATCTCCGCAAGAATTTCTGTTCAGACAACAAAAAAAACGAATATTTAGGTGCGGAGAACTCTTGAACATCCACCTAGCGAGACGTGCAACAATTCTAGAAAAATGTCCAGCACAAACAAAATCTGTGGAGCGACATACCGGGCCTTCCATAAGAGAGGCAAGAGCCTCATCCCAAAGCTTCTTATTTAAGCAGTCCTCTCTGATCAACCACTGTTGTTGTGATGTAAGCTGGTATTTTTCTCCCTCAGCGTCATCCTGAGCAAGCTTCATGCTCTTCACTGGAGGTGGAGTCACAGCCACTGGCTCAGTCGCATTCTCAGCTGTGAGGGGGGAGAAGAAAAGAACAATTTAACAAACTAATACATTCATTATCTAAAACCAAATATAAACCTCAAAACTTCATTCCATTTATATTTATTCTGATTGATATATTGAGCCTTACTGCAGCAAGAAAACCCAAATAATGGGTATAATAGTGTAGCTCCTATAAATAGTACAGATGCCATCTTTGCTCCCTGATCTATTACTTAAACAATCGGTACTGGTACATTCAAAATTTATATGGATGAGTCTTCTTTTTCCCCATCCTACCAGTCTCAGTTGCAATGTCCTGAAGCAGGATCTATAGTATTGGACTGCCGTCACATAGAAAACACCTCAACACTAATGTTGTCCAACTAACTAGCAGAACAGGAATGAATCTTCATCCCATTGCTTAGCAGCTCCAGAGGTAAATGTGGAATGCTATAACTTTCAAATCGCTCGATTATAAAATATACACATGTAATTAACCCGAGGAGTTATATTTCTTGCATCTATCCATAAAATCTAGGTACTCCTTCTCAATAAATTCAGCTGTTTGAGCGTCCAACCTTTCTATGTCACCAGCAAAGTTCAAAGGAGTCTGCCTGTTAAAGTGGATGTTAAAAATCCCACAACACTATTCGGAAAGAGAAAGTTACTTCTCTTGGTAAACATTCCTCCTAATAATTTGATGGTTAATTTCATGGCTGTTTATGGGCTGTGTGGAAATTGTCCACGGTGTTTGTCTAGATAATATACTTGACAGTAATAACTAGATTTTGTCATGTCTTGACTCTTTTAGATGCTACGTCCAATGGAAGGACTATTATTATTTGTTCCACATGGAAAGAATCTATGCAGTTTTAGCTGGTTAGATTCCAGCAGTACCCCAACGCACATTCCGGGCAGAATCCCCAGGCTTTGCCTATGCCAACCTGCGCCTAATACTTTCGTGAATTAGGTAAGCAGGAAGTGTCCCTCCAGGGACAGAGTGAGTATTCCATTCCAACAATCTATCTCTGGAATTTCCATGTATAGGTGGGATACAAGGAATTCCCAGCTTGGTTTGGATACTTTTAAGCATGGTGATGGGATTCCTCATGTGCCGACACTCAGCCGACCAAAAACTAGTTAACTTTAGCTACGCTCTGGACACTTGGGGCTGTGTTACCGTCTCACTTGAAGACTCAATACCTTTGGTTAGTTTAAAAAAAAGGGTAGGTGTCGTCCCAACTAAAAAGTTCAGGTTAAAGCTCTATGATGCAACATAACACTCAGGGATTAATGTATTGCCTAAGTCTGGTCCAAACACATGGTAAGTTTTTGTTAATCATTCATGTTAGGGGAAGATTGCAAGCCCGTAAAGTCAGCCAAACAAACATTCAACTAAACCATACCACTCTCTTGGTCAGCAAAACCAAGATGTGACCGGATTGCATTTTTGTACCTTGACCACTGAAACTGAAGAATGTTAGATTGTAAACGATTCTCCACCTCAGGGACATTTTTCTGCACAGCTAATAGGAAGGGTGCAACTGCACAGGTTGTACTAACCCGTAACATTTACTGAAATCCTGCCAGGTTGTTTCTCAATACAGTAGAAACCTGTAAGTACTAAATGTACCGCCGCTAAACCAACCCTATTATTCAGGTCAACAGAGCTGAGAGTACAGACAAGTAAGTGGGGGGGGGGTAGGGGGGTAAAGATAGCTTATTTGCCATTTATAGCCTTGCATACTTGTGCATTATCCTCGGCACGCAACATTTGTGAAAAATTGTGGAGGGCAGTGGGGGGGGAAGGAGGGTGATCGAAAACACGGAGGGTCTTGAGATGGGTCTTGAAGGAGGCATGGGAGGGAGCGAGGCGAAGGACTGCGGGATGGAGTTCCAGTGGGTGGGTGCAGAGTGACAGAAGGCCCGCCTGCCAATGGCGGGGCGAGGGAGGCGGGGACTTGAAGCAGGCTGGAGCCCGCTGAGTGGAGGGAGAGAGAATGGTAGGGAGTAAAGAGGTTGCAGAGGTAGGGCGGAGCAAGGCCATGGAGAGCTTTGAAGGTGAGGACCAGGATCTTGAACTGTATCCTCTGGGTGATGGGAAGCCAATGGAGTCAGGCGAGGATAGGAGTGATAGGGTCACTGAGCCTGGTGCGGGAGAATACAAGGGCTGCAGAGTTCTGGATGTTGGGGAGGCCGACAAGCAGGGAGTTTGCGTGGTCGAGCCTGGTGTTATGAATGCATGTATGAGGATTTCAGTGGCCTGCAGTGTGTGACAGTGGCAGAGCCGGGCGATGTTGCGGAGGTGGGGGAAGGCAGAGCGGGTCATGGCATGGATGTGGGGTAGAAAGGATAGTTGAGGGAATTACAAGCTTCAGGGACAAATATTCACTTTTTAAAAAAAATATATATCAAAATGACTTATGCAAAAACAAATTTAAATTTATAATGAAAGCACCTTCATAAAAGAGAACAAAACAAAGTGTGCCTCGTTACTGTCTTACTGGAATGGCGATACACTGGTTACAACTTTAACCACTTTAGGTGGAGTCCTGTAGCTCAGTGGTTAGAGCACTCGCTTTGCAAGCGAGAGACCTGAGTTCAATTCCAGGCAGAGGGCGAAACCTTGGGCAAGTTTCCTTACTCCACACAGAGCCTAATAATAATCCCTCCAAAACCAAAAACAATAATTAAATTGGTCATTTTCAATCTACGACTGTTTGTGGGACATTGCTGTGCGCAATTGGCTGCCGCGTTCGCCCACAAATATACAGTCAATTCACTTTGCAGTGTGTTCTGTGAAGCGCTTTGGGACATCCTCCCGACGTGAAAAGCGCTATATCAAATGCAAGGATTATTATTATTATAACCTTTGACATAACCATGTGGTTTTGTGAAACCTGGAGCATTAATCCCAGGGGAATAAAGTGCAATTACAGCAATAGCTTCATCAACAACCATTAACCTTGGTTATTGCAACACACAACATACCGTTGTTTCCTTGCTGCCTCTTTGGAGTTGTTCTGCTGCGATTGTCCACCTTGGTGGTTCTGGCGTCCGGCTTCTTCCCTTTTTTCTCCTTGTTGGCCATAGCTTCCAGGTAACCTTCAGGATACTATCGTGAAATATGGCAAGAATGATAATGAAATATAACATGCAGCTTTTGTTAAATCACTTGTTCAATGCAAGTCAAAAAAGTTCAATTGCAACCAAGCCCTGACCTGTATCTTCAAACCCAGCTTCTTTGTCCTATCTTTTCCCTCTGGAGTCCAAGGAGAGGGCTCTACATCATCGCGTCTCAACAGATAACGCCACACAAGGAAGCCCGACTTTCCAATTTCTGGCCAGTATTTTACCACCTAAGACATCACAAAAATTCAAATTAAAGTTTCACACATGTACAAAATAATAAATAATCCTTGCATTTGATTAGTGCCTTATCACGTCGTCGGGACATCTCAAAGCGCTTCACGGGATACATTGTGAAGTGGTGTGACTGTGTATATTTTGTGGGTGAAATATATAGGATCTGCATTTTCTTATTTCAAGCACTGCAGCAATTTCTTGTACTTTATCATGTTAAAAATAAGTTAAAAATTCAAAAAGCGTCCTTTGACGCGGCTTTTCTTATCCATTTTACTTCGCAGTTTTCAAATCTTTCTTTAAGATGAACGACCCCAATTGAGCAAGGTCAATTTAATCGTCCGCTTCCAAAAAATACCCGTGGATCCTTAACTCAATTGGATAGGTGAAGGTCAGCGCAACAAAAACAGTATAGTCTGACACATGCTTAAGATACTGCCCATGTTTGACTGATGAATACCAACATTTGATTTCACCTACAAATGCAACAATTGATTTCCACTCATTCTTCCCTTGCTTTTCTCTCCTCCGGAAGTGTCTTTCACTCTCCCACCACGCCCCACTTCAACGAGGGCTGTGGTGTCAGTTGCTCTCAGGTACCTTTTTTGTGTGCGCGGGTACCTTGACAGTAACCATCAGAGAATAGTAGATCACGGGTGTTGGGAAAACAAGAGTTTCACAAGGGAAGCTCAAGCCATTACTTCCATGCCTTCCATCAAAAGTGGCAGGACAGAGGCAAAGCTGGCTTAGCCTGGTGTATTGATGTACTTGGGCTCTGTCCTACTAACTCAGACCAGAAGGGGCTGGGATCATTACATTATCGATGCTGGAAATGATTTGTCATGGAATGTATGTGTATCAGGGGTGGTGGGGCAGGGGAGGAAAGGGGGAAGAGAAAGCGGCAACGAAAACATAGCTGTGAAACATGCTGAATGACTCCAGAATTCTACTTTGAATTGACCAATTTAGTGCAAAAAAAATTAAATCAGACAATAAAATAGCAAGTGACAACTAAACTCCATTGAAAAATTTGGACTCTCAACGAGTGAGAACCTTGTAAATTCCATCGTAGCGATTGCCTTCCTCCGGTGCATATTTGCTGACTTTGCGTCCTTTGGAGCTCCTGACAACACGGACTGGTTTCCCAGCTCTCCAGTCTCGAGCTTCTGCTCCAATCTCATCGTTCAGCGGGGCATCACAATTAAGAGCCAATGCCCTGGAAATAAATGCAAGAAAATGACTGCGTTGAAGTCAAAAAAACATTTACCAACAACCCAGGGAGTGCAGGAAATTATAAACAAAATCTCAGCGTTGTCACTTGTAACCTATAATTAACCTCCCTTAGCAACTAAAAATCACAGCGCAGAGATGAGATGTGACCACTGTGTTGTTACCCTCGCAACTACTCGACTCAAAGTCATTATAAACCAAGTGATGATGTCTGATGGCAGATGGTATTATTAGTTGATGGTAGACACTATATTGTACAACAAAAATCTGGAAAGAATATGTGTTTTATCTCATTCTACTTTTTACAATGGATGGAGTGAATGTGAATCATCAAGAAAGTTTTTAAAAGATCAGGACCATTTTAAAAAACAGTTACGCTACCCCTCCCACTCCATGACATGTAGTTTTGTTGGGATCTACACCATTGATGTAGCAAAAGAACAGTGGTCCACTTAACACACTAACTCCGAAACTCAGGGGTTAGTCATGTGCCCTGTGTCTCTGTGTTCGGGTTTCAGAACCACTGACTGAGTCCCCCTACACAGTAAACAAATTTACCATTTTCACCTTTTCTTCCTTCCAAGTTACGTTTCTCCTCTAGTTTCTTTCCTGAACTTTTCCTCCAATGATTTCACTTCTTGCTCTACTCTAAGCCCACTTTTCTTTCAAGCAACTTTCATGGAGGATTCACTCAGAGCACACTGAACCCTGTAAATTGTAGCACAGGATCTCAGAAGTAGCAGATATAAGTGAAATGGAGGAACACAAATTCACCAACTGAATCCAAGGACAGGATCGCAGGAACTTAGTAAATCCATAAACAAAAACAACAACTTGCATTTATATAGCTCCCTTCACCTGGGGGCTATATAAATTCATCTTGGAGCATTAAAACATTCCCCAAAGTCTTAAAGTCACAGCTACAGTTAAGAAACCAGCCTCCTCTACTGCTTGTGATAAGCTGCCAGTGAGATAAGGCCAACCGATCTGAAACCATTCAACTTTAGTTATCCAGGAACATGCTGAACCCTGTGAAGCCCCACCCCACACCCAACCAAACCACAGTAAGGATAGAAGTCAAGGCGGTAAGTACTTGTTTTATTCAAAGGGTAATCAACCTGTGGAATAAGGTACCAAGAAAAGCCATTGTCGCAAAAAAGTATAAATGGGCTTACTGGAGAGAAAGGAGATATACTGTAAAATGGCAATACAGTGGGGTTCAGAACAAAGAAAAGGGTCAGACTCATTCAGCCGAATAATGGACTTATCCCATTTCTTAAAATTCTCCCCTTTGTGTCAAAGCTACACAACAAAATTATCACTGCACCCCTTTTATTTAATCCTTACTTTGAACAACTTCTACTTAACACTACCTCTGAACATAAGGATTCTCAAAATGCTGAAACACAAATGAACAGGAAAAAAAGTAGCAAAATCCTGAATAGACAATATAAATTTGAGTCAGTATCAGCCATAAATCTGTGTATTCACTCCTCTTAATTGTGCAATAGTTTCTTTCTCCATTCTGTGTTCGATTATGGTTGTCTTTCCTACTCTCCGTGTCAAGCTTAACTGGTCAAATATTAGCCACTTATTTTTAATAAATTTTAAAAAACCTTTCAACACTCTTGTTACAGAACAGGTGTGGACAAAAGTAGTAACAAAATTCTGAATCGTAAAGAAGAGCGAGGCACAGGGTTGAGAATTGTGTCAAGGTTAGACCAGGTTTACCGGTTCATGTTGGTTAATGCCTGATCATAGGACTGCTCTCCAATTCGCTTGTTTCCAGAGAGGTCTCGGCCTCCACTCCCGGTGTACGTGAACTCATTGCCTCTATCCTATGAGAAAGATAGCAAATGGACTTTAACCACAAGATCCCTCTGTTGACTGACAGATTGTTGTTGCTTCCTCACTGAACAGCATCCTACGAGGGTGTGCCTAACAATGTAATACACATCACTTATACGGATTAGCTTGGTGGCTAACACTGTCCATATTATCTCTGGGACCCTGATTTGATTCAAGTCTAAGATAATGGAACAGGCAGCACTACTTCTTGCTACCTGTACGGGTCCTACCCAAAATACACTGGTGCACTCCATTTAAAATTTAATGTCACTGTTTATTTTTTCTACCCTTTTCCTCCACTTATTTTCTCTCTGCTTCTGGTCCAGCCTCGTCGTTCTAAAACTTGCACATTAATACAGCTTCTAATACAGAACTAATCTGCCTATAATTCAGCACAAGTACACTCTAGTGCAGTACATAGACTTACATAGAAGGTACAGCATGAAAACGGGCCTTTCTACTCAGTCAGTCTGTGCATGTGTTTATACTCCACATGCCACTCACTTCTATTTGCTTCTCTCCAATATCTACCTAAGAAGATGTTCAACTGCAGTTAGGTTTAAAGCACATTGTTTGGGGGAAGTGTTGTCTTTGCTCTGTATCCAACTCATACTGTGGTGTTGCTGGAATTGGTTTATGATGTCATTGAGTGCTTAAAGGATGGAAGTGTTACATTTTTAGACCTAATATTCCTCACTACAGTTGCATTTCAAATCAGTTGCATTTTATATTCAACACACATACCACTTCATCCTCAAAGCCGCCGGCAAGAACCAGGGAGTATGCGCCATCATTGCTTCGTCCATGAATTCCTCCAACGTGTGGCCTGTGGACACCTGCTTCACTCACCTTGCAGCAACAAAGCATTAAGATGTGACAAGAGTTAACGTGAGCGACAATAGAGTCACCCAATGATGGTCAACGACACACTGAATTATATTGCTTTTTGCCGATAACAGAACGGAAGTTGAAAATAAAAACACAGACCTCCCAGACCATTTGATCTGATCATCACATAATCTGAAAAAAAGTCTCACAGATTAAGGGTAAAACTTAAATTGGAACAAGAACCAGTTATAAATGGATATAAAATAATGGTACAAAAGGTCAATGCATTGCATTCCTTCCTCAATGACAAGTAATGGTGATGAAGGGCACAGTAACCTTGGGTAACGAGGAATGTCTATAACTAAGGTTTTCTGAGCGAGAAGTATTGTGCATGAGAATGCTGGTTTTAGATAGACGAACTACTCCATTCACAGCATCTACATAATGTGTTCTTTTTCATACTCATGGGTTGATGGGTAAAACTACTGCTGTTGTAAATATCTCTTACTGACTTACTAGACACATTATTCGGCGTATTACAACAGCTTATTTGGTATCTTCTGCTCGCGAGATTCAAACAATTACAAGCCAGTACCTGCATTTACGAAAAATGGTAGTACCAGCATTGTAGTTACTCAGCCGGAAATTCCGACTAGTTGAACTAGATCTCCCCCATCCCCCATTAGTTCGACTAGCCAAATGTATTTGGAAAACAGACCAGGTTAATGGTGCATTATAATGTGCTTGGGGAGAGGAGCCACAAAATGTGCGAAATGACGTTTTGAAGGAGATTGACCCAAAACTGCTGTAATTAACACATTTGATGGTATGAGGAGTCAGCAGGAGGGTAGCATTAAATTAGGTGCCTCGCTTGAAGGAAAACACCAACACTACCTTAATGGGCCAAATAGCCAGTTTATGTGCTGTAATATACATTTATTCTACGATTCCATAATTTGCTATCGCTCATTGGTATTATGCAGGCAGGACCTGAATACTGGTACAGAATAAAAGTCCTTTTGGCCTGGTTACCTGCTGTGAAATGACCGTCAAGTTGGAGAGCAATTGGTTGTGGTTCCTAAACATTCAGTTACATGGGGGGCAAAAATACTACAAACTGCAAAGTAAGGGAAGCAAAATATTTTTTTAAAAATTAAGCTTTAAAAAGGCGTATATACACATATAAACCAAGTAAAGTTTTAAACTTTGATGCATTTTATTTTGAAAATGTGAACATTAATCTAATAGAACCAATACTCGTTTAAAAAGAATCTCCACATACTTGATTATAAAACCAAACAGATCAGAAACCTAAAGTGTGCAACAATACCCAATAACCTCTGTGTACAAACTATCTGAATGCATTGTTTTCGTGAAGCTTGAAGCTTAATGTAGACAGTTGATGGCAGGAACAGTTGTTCTTAACAAAATCACATTGGGGTGGAGAAGGGAAAAGTTGGTTTAAAATTCGTGCAAACTAATAAATGCAGGAAAATTATCATTGCTGAGTTTGCCTGAGAGAAAGATTTGCAGGATTGGGTTATGCCTAAATAAACCCCTGGATTTGCCTTCAAAAGATGGAAATTTTACTTTTAGTCTCCTTGCAAGCTGTGTTGCCAGGGTGCTTGGTGTTCAATAGCTGCCCTCAAAGAAAAAACAATGGTACCGGTGATCAATTTTCAACCCATTTCAGAGGATGTATTCTGGCAAGCTACCACAATTTGGGCAAAAAGAATTGCTCTCAAAGGTTCAAGCAAAATGACAGAACTCACCCAGTCATTGGATAGTGTTAAAAATGTTTACGTGCATGTACTGCAATTCAGTATGAACTCAAGCCCTAGAAAAAAACGTTTTTAATTTTGAACAATCAGGCTGATCTACTACATACCGTACTCAAGAGAAAGTCACAAAATGATCTCACTTACCTGAACTCTGAACTTCCACATTGTGCCAACAGGAGTCCCAGGAATGGGCCCATAGTGGTTGGAAGGAACTATTGTACATTCCTTTGTTCGCCCAACGCAGGCCATGCCCTAGGGACAAATGGTTACGTTAGGAACATTTCATGAACAATGCGGTGGATGTTTTGAAACCTGAGATGGACACATGTAAACAAAAATAATAATCCTCGTATTTGATATAGCGCACAGGGTAGCAAGAGCCAAGGCTTGGGGACCCCAGAGTGTGTGATGCGGTACTGCTGGCGTCTAACCAGCTAAAGCTGCACAGCTTGACATTGAAAGCACTGTCTGGCAAGCTTTCCCACTGGGAAGACACTTTGAGAGATCTCAACGACCTGAGAAAGCAAGAATGATTATTATATTAGTATTGTTATTAGTATTATTAGCAGTATTATTATATTACCCACCTTGCCCCAGTCTCTCTGGCTGACAGTGCTGGCGGATGGCATCTTCGCCTTCTTTTTGCTCTCCTTCAGTTTTCCCCAGCTCGCACAACTTCGCTGGTGTCATTTTTACATGAAGGGCAATACCTGCAAAGTGCAATGACCTGAGTTTACAAACAACTCTACACAAAACGCACAGGCTAAAACTACAACTGCAGCAGAACATCATCAGAGGTACCAAACACTAAAACCATCACTTCAGATAACTCAAACCACATCACTTGGACAAGATGAACAATGGTGCCAGCTGGGAAAGATGGTGGAATTTCAACAAACATCAAGTCTCCACAGTAACTCACAGAGCAAAAACTAAGGCACACACACATAGAAATTAGAGATAGGAAGCATGTTTAAGTGATTAATTCTCAAGCCAAGCTGCCGACTAGACCCGTTTGTTAGCAGATGTGACAAAAAAAACTGGGCCAGTATGTCTGAGGAATGCTTTAGTGTTCATTCAAGGGATGCAGAATGCCTCTGCTCCGCATCTCTCCAGAGACCTAAAATTGCTGAAGCTCTTTAGCTCAAGGCTCACGGTTTTAAAGTTTGAGATTGTGCAGAATTTTGGAAAGCGACTCTTCAGAGACTCAGTCTTTGTTAGGAAGGTTAGTGTATCTGCCAGTTTGCCTGCACCTACACTTCACAGTATATCCTGTGAAATGTTTTGAGACATCCTCCTGACATGAAAGTCACTATGCCAAATGTAAGAAATAATTACAGTAGCGAAAAGCACAAGCAGACTAAAACCCCCATTAATTTTCCCTCAAATAGGTGGGATTAATATTATTAAAGGAATATCTATATAATGTGGTCTTTGTGGACTAAAATGAGGAAAGACATAATTGTGGCACTTCTGTTTACTAATCTAGAGCACAGTGGTTCAGCCCATTCCTGGAACTGCAGTCCAGTGAATCATGAGGATGCCGGGAATTAACTGCTCAGCTCCACATTTGTGCCAGCAAAGGTTTATTCTAGAATAGGCTTTGTGCGTCAACATGCTGATCAAATCAAATGTGGAATCTGGTCCTAGCCATCGTTCCAACCACAGAATATTTCAGAACAATCATCAATTTGTAATGATGCTCACGCAGAGAAGTACCGCACTGTGAAACGCTTTGAGACATCCTCCTGACATGAAAGTCACTATGCCAAATGTAAGAAATAATTATAGCAGCGAAAAAGTACAAGCAGACTAAATCCCCCCATTCATTTTCGCAAACGCAAACCATCAGAGGCCTGAATGTCTCAGTCTCAGTCTGAATACTTTTGATCATGCACAATGGTAGAAAATTCTTGAATTCTATCATAATATGGGCACTATTTTTCTGCAGTTCTTAAAAAGAAACTGACTTCCAAATTAAGACTGAACTCTTCTATAAATTTCCACAATCTTAAATGTCAACTCTATTGCCTTTAATCCTAACACCATTTTGCACAGTATGTGGATGCCAAAGTCACATCATAAAAAAGTTTCGGAATATAGAGCAGCAAGTTCAGGCAGGAGGAGATCATTGCTCAATCTACCCTGATCTACTCATCTAACTCTCATCGACTAACATTAATACAATATAGATTTAACCCATTTGATCTCATCTTTACAGACATCAATCCTAGCATTTCCCGATGATAGCATCAAGCTGTTTCTTAAATGTCCTGATCCCCACTAGCTTCCCTAGTAACATGTAGTAGCTGTAGGTCGATGTACATCTCCATCAGAGCTTTGAGTGATGTATGGAGTTGAGTCACACAGATTTTATATAGCATACTGCAAATCATCCAGTTCTAAATATGCCCATTTACCAGTCCTCATCCTCTGGTATCTTGTTCAGTGGAGGGTTCAAGCAGTATATGTGATACGCCATATTGCACTCATCACACAAGAGCTGCATAGCTGGGTCCTGCTTCCCACCACATAGACGACAAGCACAGAATCTGCACTCGGCGTCGGGGTCTGCCTTGCAGTATTTGCACTCAGGACCACTCTTTCCTAGGAGAAGGATGGGAGCGAAAAAAACATTTCTGTTACAAAAAAACACTTGACAATATCGAAAATGAACATGCAAATTCCTTGCAAACAAACAGACATGTACTTTTAAACTGCCCCTCTGCCAACGTGATCGGATCTGTCCCAGGTTCTTCGATCTTGTAGATTTCATCCAAAAACTGAATCTTGCAGTCACCTATGATGTCCAGAGGACCACTGTAACAGAAAAGATTGCATTTTTACTTTTTCTGATCTTGTGGTTGCATATTTCGTACATTTGAATCCCGACTGGCTGTCTGTTTTAGAAACCTAGGGTACTCACAAAGTCTTTGTTACCCTGTTTTTTTTCTTACAATGAATTTTTATTTTCTGTTGCAGATGAGTCAAGTGTAACGATGTCTGACACCAGTGACTTCCTCGTCACTCCACGCATGTTACAGATGATGTGGCACCGAATATAGCTACCGATCATTATCTGCCAGGAAAATGAAGGCCCTCACACACACTAATCCTCTGAACGTCTTAATACAGTTAAACACTTGTACTGAATATAATTAAGTACTTCTAAATACAATTTTCCTCATTCTTCCACACGTTTCAATTTGGTCAGTGCACTGCAGAAAAAACATGGGGGTAAAGGACTTAGTGAACACCATCACTTATGGCAGAATATACAATGAACAAGTTCTCTTCGTGCAACTGTAAGCATGTAGTCACACTCAATAATCCTTACATTTCATAAAAACAACAAAATTACATTTGTATAGTGCCTTTCACGTCGGGAGGATGTCCCAAGGCGCTGGACAGAGTTTCTGACCCGAGCTGGGGGTCGGGGAGGGTGGAGAGGCGGGTGATCAAAAGCACGGTCAAAGAGGAGTGTTTTGAGATGGGTCTTGAAGGAGGCAAGGGAGGGGGCGAGGCAGAAGGACTGCGGGATGGAGTTCCAGAGGGTGGGGGCAGAGTGGCAGCAGGCCCACCTGCCGATGGTGGGGCAGGTGAGGGGGGATCATGAAGCAGGCCAGCGCCCACTGAGCGGTGGGAGCGAGCAGGGTGGAAGCGGGTTAGAAGGTTGCAGAGGTTGGGGGAAGCAAGACCATAGAGGGCTTTGAAGGTGAGGACCATAGTCTTGAACTGTATCCTTTGTGTGATAGGAAGCCAGTGGAGTCAGGCGAGGTTGGGGGTGATAGGGTCACAGAGCCTGGTGCGGGAGAGGACACAGGTTGTTCTGGATGATCTGCAGCCAGGAGGAGTTGGGGAGGCCGACAAGCAAGGAGTTTGCATAGTCAAGTCTCGATGTAATGAAAGCGTATATGCAGATTTCGGTGCCTGGAAGTCTGAAACGCCTCAAAGCACTTCAAAGGGACTGTTGTCAAGAGTAGTGACTGCATTTGTAAGAAAGCATATATGCAGCCAAGGTGTGCAAAGCAATGTCCCACAACTAGCCATATAGTGAATGATTAATTTATCTGAAAGATTGTTGTCCAGTGGATCTTTAATGTCCACTTGAACAGGCAGAAGGAACCTCAGCGTAATTTCCCATTCAAAGGATGGCTATTCTGACATTGCAGCATTCCCCGGTACTCTTGACTGAATGTCAGAAACGAGCACTTCAAATAAGCTGCCTGAAAGTATAGAGGTTATATAAACAAATGTAGCAACAATGTCCCACAAACAGAAAATGAGATGAACAATCAACTGTTTGGTTAATATTGGCAAGGCAGCGGAATTTTTTGTTTTTTTTGGTCAGCCGGGTGTCTGACACATGCAGAAACCCATCACCATGCTTAAGAGTATCCAAACCAAACTGCGAGTTCCATGCATCCCACCTACACATGGAAATTCCAGAGATAGATTGTTGGAATGAAGTGCGCACTCTCTCCCTGGAGGGACATATCCTGCTTCCCTAATTCCAGAAAATATTAGGCACAGGTTGAGAAAAGCCAAAGTTTGGGAGCCCCAGAGTGTGTGTTGGGGTACTGCTGGAGTCTAACCAGCTAAAAACGCATAGCATGCCATTGCTATCACTAGCTATGATCACCTACCCGTTGGGGCTTTGGCTTGCAGGGTTAGCAATTCAACCTACAATTTACAGTATATCCTGTGAAGCGCTTTGAGACATCCTCCAGATGTGAAAGGTACTACACCAAATGTAAGGATCATTATTAATCTCTGCCCCAGTGACTGATCTGCCCTTTCAAGTCCTGCTGATGGCCCAGGCTGGCTATGCTGTCTTCAGCAGTGCCCTGGAATACTGTGGACCCACATGGCTTGGATCCACTTCAGCTCCAAGGAGACCCCAATTACACCCCACCCACCACCAGAAAGAGGACCGTCATCAGTTGGTCTTTCGGCATCTGACAAGTGCGGGTTTGTGCCCTCACTAGATGACTGGTAGGTATCAGGAACTTCCTGCCAGCTGGTATATGCTTAAGAGTATCCAGAAAGTTACCTGCTCTTCAAAACAATTCCAAGGGAACCATAACCTTCAATTGAACAAGCAGATAGTACCATTGCTTAATATTCAACATGAGGGATCGTACTTCTTCCGTACTTCACTGCAATCCCATCCTAACATTTAAACTTCATTCTTGGTGCTTGAATTCACAATCTTGTGACTCATTTTCTTTTATTAATTTTATATTCAAATTATATTTATGCCCCGATTCAGAATTGCAGAGGCATATTACTAAATGCTCTGAGAAAATGCCACAACACAAACAGCAGATACAGTTCTAACTATAAACACTGTATTATAAAGAGCTGTTCCCAATTCATAAATGATGCTGGTTACAGCAATGAATTAAGGCAAAGACAAGCGATTGAAATTGTAATTGTCTCAGGCCTAGTGAATATGAACCCTCGAAGCCCATTAAAAGTAAGTAACACTCCAAGAAATGACTTGAGAATAACCTCAATTCCCAATTCCACTCACCCCATGCCCCTTCCAGGAAAGAAAATCCAGTCAATGTTACTCCTGAAGAACCAATCCCACTTGCTAATGGGTCTCCTAGTATTCACTTGGGTGTTTTCTTTTCTTAATTTTACATTCAAATTATATTCATGCGCCAATTCAGAATTGCAGAATGAGTCCCAAAAGACTAGCCATATTCTCCAGAGCAATCAATGTAACATTATGTTGATATTCTCTGCTAGGCTGTGGGAAAATTCAGACCACAAAGTGGAGTGCATCAACAATGCTGTACCACAACGCCATATTGTAACAGTAGTCAGATATAGGCATCAAACAAAAATTGAAGTGTGCACATATATATTCTATTGGGCAGCACGGTGCTATATTTCTGGGGACAATAAATGAAATGGGGCTATCGGTTTCTCAGTTAACAATGCATTCCTGCTGGTTGTTAAAGCATTACATGGGACAGTTTTAGTTCAATATTTTAATACAATAGTTTTATTGTGGAGTCCTGTGGTGTTTTAGTTAAGAGCACTTGCCTCACAAGCGAGAGGACCCGTTTCGATCTCTGGACGCTACAACACCTTAGGAAAGTTTCCTTGTGAAGTTTGTCAAAATAATAATCATTGAATTCCAAATGTACACCTATTTATTGTATTATGTTCAGTGTTGCAAAAGCAAGTCAGTGGTGATTATTGGTTTAAATAAGAAGCCTGAAGCTGGTGAATGCCTTGTTTAGCACATTCTCCATTTTAGAAATTCAATAATGACGATAAACTTCTGATAACTGATGATCACACATTCACCCACAAAACATAGCACAATTCAACCTACAATTTACAGTATATCCTGTGAAGCGCTTTGAGACATCCTCCAGATGTGAAAGGTACTACACCAAATGTAAGGATCATTATTAATCTTATTATACTTCAACTTTGAATCACTTAAGATGATTATTTTTGAATCATTTCAGGTGAATTCATCTCAGTCCTATATTAATTTCGGTACATGGATCCACAACACTGTAAACACAACTAAACTCACTAAACTCAGCATACAGGCCTCGTTATCACAAACATTTATTCTCACGACAGCAACTTCCAAATGACTGGTCACAGATATGCTCTTTCAATTAATTTGCATGTGTTGTAGTGATTTGTTTAACACCAAAATAAAACACTTCATGGTTGCTTGATGTTTATTGCCCATCAAGTTATGGTTAAAATTGCAAATGCGTTTTGAGAATATTGTGTTTTTGACTCTCCTCTTTCACTCGATGTTGTCATAGTGCACGGCAGGCACTGCGAGGGGAGGGTAACAAATGAATTTCATAAAGAGCATATTACATGGATTGCACAGTGAGCATACTACGTAAGATTTGCTGATATCCCTGGTTATTAGTGGACGGTTGTGCTGATGGTCGTAACCACTGTATTTTATGGTGACTTCATAAACTGCCACTCTATAAAGGGTTAAGCGTGTGCATCCAGTCTTAGATACCTAAACATGAGCAATCCTTTCCTGGTTTCCTCTTCGTTGTTATTTATTTATTTAAGGTTTAAAAAAAAGTTTTAAAAGTTTTTTTAAGGTTTGTAAATGATCACATCACGCTCGAACATCAAACACATATTTAGAGTGGATCTCAAGTGGTTTCAAGTGACCGGAAAGGGAACTGGAAATAAACGCCTCACCCGATGACAAAATGCACAGACTCGGACAGCAATGACAATTCAAACATCGACTGTGAGAGAATGGCAATCACACAGCCCAAGATTGGATTTCTCCTCACCCACCAAAAAATGGGACAAGTTTGATATAATATCGAGTTCACCTAAAATGAAGATGCCTTAATTGGCATTTCTATTTTTTTGCTCACGATGCATCTCTACATTTTAAAATTTGGATTAAAAATAAACAAATCTCACTTAAAACACTCCAATGCACTGTTGGGGGAGCGCTGCATTGTTGGAGGTGCAATCAATCAAATGAAATGTTAAATTGAGGTCCCATTAAGAAGGATTATTATGCTAAAATATAACGGGATCAAATGTGTTGTGCCTCATTTAACACCAATGTAAACCAACAGGTGGCAGCACACTGCTCCAGATAAATGTGTTCTTCCTTCCCAGGTCCGACTTGGCATCAACCAAACAAAAAAAAGCTTTTATGTTTTTAAAAATCAGAAGAGAACAAATTTTTAAATTTGAGATTCTAACATTTTTTTTTGCTAGACAGTTCATTGTCTCAGTTGGATCTTTGAAGAGGGCCAAAATATGGCTTTAACCTGACCGTACTTTAGCTG